TTTTCTGTAAATTTAAAATTATTTTAAAACAAATTGCCGAAACCGGTTTGGCTCAGTGGATAGAGCATCGGCCTGCAGACTGAAAGGTCCCAGGTTCAATTCAGGTCAAGGGCATGTACCTGGGTTGCGGGCACATCTCCAGCAGGGGGTGTGCAAGAGACAATTGATCGATGATTCTCTCTCATCAATGTTTCTAGCTCTCTATCCCTCTCTCTTCCTCTCTGTAAAAAAATCAGTAAAATATTTTAAAAATTTTAGCTTTTCTTAAAGAGTGGACTATCAGGGACTTTCAGTCAAGATGGAGAAGTAAACACTATGCTTGCCTCTTTCCGTGGCTACATCAAATTTGCAACTAAATTATAGAACCATCTGAAGACTAGGTGACTCAGATATGGCACCCACCTGCACCTGCTGGCTTGCAAAGCTCCAGAGACGTGCAGGGAGGAACTGAATTGTCTGGCTTCAGGTTAAGGGCTAGAGGGCAGCTTTCTCCCAGAAAGAAGTCCTGGCTGGCACCATTGTTTCTTTGTTGACCTCTCCCACACAGCCAGCAGGTGCAGGCGGATGCTCTATCTGAGTTCATCCACTTGGTCAACACAACTCCTCCCACCCTGGTGATTCCCTGAGTCTTGCCCCAACCTGAACCTTTTTCAGCAACTTTTTTTTTTTTTAATCCTCACCCAAGGATATTTTTCCATTGATTTTTAGAGAGAGTGGAAGAGAGAGGGAAAGACAGAGAGAAATATTAATGTGAGAGAAACACATTGATTGGCCTAGGCAGGGGAGGAGCCTGCAAACGAGGTTTGTGCCTCTGACCAGAATAAAACCTGGAATGCTTCATCCATAGGCCAATGCTCTATCCACTGGCTAGGGCTTTCAGCCACTATTTCTCACAAGCACCCAGCCATTGCTCACACTATGGACTTTCTTAAAAACTCAAAGATTTGCAAACCCCAAACAGTCTGCAGCTGGTGCCCTACACTGCACCTTTTGCTAAGTGACCTCTGGCAGTAGTTGCACCCAGTCTCTTCAATATTCCTGCATGCCTAGCAGAGTCAACTACCAAACACAGATCACTTTGTAGCTCCTACCAGGAGGCCCTACGTCAGACACAGGCCTAGAACTGTACCAGAACTCTCAAGAGGTCCAGGATCAACACACCTGGTGGCCAGCTTCACACAACACCAGAGCCCCATCCAAATAGATCCACAGATGACACACAGGATGCACTCTGCAGGCACTGGAGCCCCACTAAAGCAAACCCTACTGTGTTAGGTAGACATGAAATAGGCCCGGTGAGAAAGAATTTGTGACTATAGTGGCTGATTTCATTCCTGATTTTTAACATTTTCAACTCATGGCTGGCTGCATATGTCAGAACCTGTAACCTGATTTCAAAAATGGGACGAGCACTATCATGTACTTTTGCTTTGACAGATTACAAATTATAGGAAAAAACAGAGGGAAATTATTGTAGGTGTTGATAACTATTTTGTCCTCCAAGAATAAATTAGTGGTAAATTTTTTTTGTTCAGAAAAAGTACAAATACTGTAAAAGCATAATGGTTGAAGCAAAGTATATAAATTTTTGTTTTCTTTTTAACTGAAAAATGTAAGCATTGATCAGAATTTTCTGGTTTATAACAATTTCTCTAGCATGATGTATAAGATACACCCATAAGTGAAGTAAGAACATGTGGAGATGAAATCAGAAAATTGATTATAGTGGTTAGTGCAGTTTGGGGAATTTCCAGAAGAATTTCATTTCAGTGAACTGATTTGGGCCTTATGAGGAAAGCCCAATTAGAAGGAGAAAAACAAAAGCAAAAACAGAAAAGAAAAAGAAAATAAGAGCAAACAGACTTTTTAGCTTAAAAATCATCAGCATAGGCTCTGAATCATTTTCTCTTCTATTACTTTTAATTGGTGAGTCAGGTAAAATTTTTGCTTTCAGTAAATGTATTTCCCAAAATTGGAATCAGCTGTTTTTATTGTGGAACCAGTTCTTCTCTCTCTCTCAGTAGTCACCTTATTTAAAAGAAGCTTCCAGGGCTACTATGAACTGTGAAACAAAGCAAAGGATTTGGATCTTGAAACAAAAAACCTTGATCAGACATTTTCAAATAGTTTGGTATTTTGTGTTCATATTCTTTTACTATGGTATCCATTTTTATTATAACCAGTTTTGATTCTGTCAGTGTCTAACAAACATTGCTAATAGCCTTGACTTATAGATGATAAAGGAAAAGGAATTTCTTAAAATTTTGCAACTATTTTTGTCTTGGTGAAAAATAATGATTTAAATGTTAGACATTTGTTTTAAATGTTATTTTACAATCATTTTTTCTTTGAACTGATTATTGCTTAATATCCTTCCAAATCTAGCATTCTTACTCTGTTTTATCCAAAGATATTTCTTCCTAGCATTAGAAACATCAAAGAACCTGTTGCTCATTCAAAGCATTGCATAGTTACTTGGGTCTTTAGTGTTGAACTCCCAACAGTGCATGACCAAAATTTATGCTATATTAAGTTATGGAAGATTTAATAATGGATTTAGACTAAAGAAATACATGTTTTATCCAACTGTTGTTGGTTTCATTCACTTGCTGTTGTTATTTTTGCTAATTTACATTTGCAAATTCTTCATTTCGTTGTCTAGGATTCTTCAATGATTAGTTTGAATCTTTTTATTCCAGTGTTTTCTTTGTGATGCCTTCCCCCCATCCCCACAGATACTGTTATCAGTGGAAATTTTCTCTATTTACGTGGATATCTTTGCCCATTTGACTCTATCTTTACACCCAGGCATCTATAAATGTAGTATTCCTTTTTTATCTTACATTTCAGTGCCTCCTATGTGAACATCAATCAAAATGTCTTCTGGCAGATAAACTTCAGAACATCTTGGTTTCCACTCATTGTTGTGTATAATGTGAAGATTTCCAGATGCTTATCCCTTTAAAATCCAGTTATGTTTTTTTGTTTTTGTTTTCAACTTTCTGGCATTCTTATCCATGATTTCATCTTATGGTTTTGCTATAAAGTACCATCTTTCCCCTTTTTGTCTAATTTGACATAGAACCTGTCTTAATCTTGAAAAGCTCATCAAATAGTGGCCAAATAAAATCCAAAAATCCTACTATCAAAATAGCTTCCAGGGCTCACTCACATTTCCAAATTTGTTTTTAATTCTTAATTCTCTTTTTATTATCCCAATTGATAATATTCTCTTTGTTCAATTTCCCTCCTTACTAGTCTGCTTTTTTTTTTTCATGAGATCTCTATTTTTCTAACTGAAAAAATTACTTTATTGTAGTAATCAGCTTACATTTATGTTGAAGTTCAATTTTATTTAGTGCATAATCTATATTTTCTGCTTCCTTCATTTATGGGTATATATTTCTAAACCTATTTCTAAAGCTGTTGTTTGAGTGATGAGACAGTAGTGTTTCTACCTAATAATTTTTTGAATTGAGGAGTTCCCATTTATATTCTTCGTTTACTTATAAAGTACTTAATTATTTGGCTTTACACTATATTGAAATTAGAAATGATGGGAACTCTCTGGTATCTAAAATTAAAATTATATGTGTTCTTTGTGTGTATTATGAGGAAGGGTCTGATTTTCTTGAACTGAAACTTCTTAAACTTCTTGTCCTGTGAGTATTGGAGAGTCTTCACATATTCCCCCAGGCTGATCTAAAGTGACCACGTATGAGACATGAACAAACCTTTGTCATGTTATGGAGATAGCAACAAAGCAGGAACTCCCCTGAAAAATGAACTATGATTTAGAAGAACCAAAGAGCCAAATAAGAAAAACAGAAAACTACCTTCTCCCCTGGTACAGAGCTGAATAGAGCCAGACACCTTCAGGTTGTGACTCATTATTTCTCACAAATGGCTTTACTGGTGTTATCTAGGGCATAATCCCAACCCTGGAGGAGCTATGGTGAAGAATCAGTGAATTAGAAGATTCACTTCATAGGAGCTTTTTCCAATCTTGCTGTTACCTACCAGCCTTGGAGGTACCTATATTATTAGTACTTCTTAATTAGAGGTACTTGTTTTACTAGTACTTCTTTATATTTAAGAGAAGTGCTTAATATTTTAAATTAGTTCCAGTTTCTAATTGGGCATAATGTGAGAGTGCTTTAATAACCCAACGTTCAAGTATATATATTAATATTTGCTTACATTTTATAGTTTAATTTATAGCAGAGCCAAAAGTCAAGCTCACCATGCCTTACTTCATAGTCCATGTACTTAACACTATACTACACTCAGCCCTGCATTGCATTCTGTTTCAGGTTTTGAAAAAGATATGTAGGTCTCTTTTGAAATAGACATGCTTGTTCTCTAGGTATTACCTTGCTGTTCACCAGCCACCCAACTGGATAGTGGCACTTGTAAAACAGTATACTTCTGGCAGTTTTGGAGATAATGTTTGCAGATTTCATATGATTAGGCCAGTTTGAACTTGCTTTTGGATGTCTTTTTTAGGTTGCTAGCTCTTGCACATAAGTTTATATCATCGTTTTCCAGTCTTAAACTTGGTTACATCATTAGTTAATATTGTTTTCGGGTATCCTCATTCTCTTACTGCTAAGCAATGTTTTTAAATGAAATAAGAGTCTAGATCTGATGATTACCAAGCCCTGGAGATTGGTTTCTCAGAGATACAACTTTATTCCCCTCAAATATGGAATACTGTCAAGAACAGTTCTGCTCTGTTGAACAGGGAATTCAGACAGACTTTTAAAAATGAAAATTGAGAACCTTCCTGAATGAAATTTTATTCTAATCTCCTATTAAATCCTAAGAATAGGCTGCTGGCCTCCATTACTTTCAGGAAATGAAAAATGGCTCAGAAGCTAAGTAAGCTAAGCCATCTCTTTCTCAATTGTTTCAGTTTCTCAGGAATTGCTGTACAATGCTGCCAATAACGATCTCCGGGGATCTGACCCCCATTCCACCTCCCACTGCCTCCTCTGCAGCTCCAGATGCCACCAAAAGAAGGAGCTTTGAAGAAAGTGCCTGTACCCTCTTTTACCCTGAGGTGGGTGAGGCCAGGCAGGGTGATTCTCAGGATATCCTGATGATCAAAGGTATAGTTGAAGCCTTCATCAAGAATTTCTTGAAGATGATCAAGGAATTTGGGAAACATTACCAAATAGCCTAAAAACTGAAGATGGAGCTCAAGAATGGATGGCACAAATGCCACCTGAAATGTATTATATGCTGATGTACGTGACCCAAAATAAGCTCCTTGAGGACAGACTGTTATGCTGTTTTTATATCTATTCCACAACCTCTACAATGTCTGGCAAAGTACCAAGCATGTAAACTATATTCAATAAGTGTTAGTTTGTGACTGAGAGGAAAGACTTGATAGAAATGCTCTCCTACTCATCTTTCCTTAGCACTTAATCTAAGAAAATATAGTGTTCAGTGATGTCTCAAACTTCTTGGCCACTGTTGTCTTCTGCCTGGCTGTCTCTCTGAGTAGGAAATACCTGTCCAGTATTAATTATGAATACTTATAGTTATGTCTTCGCTGATGCCTAGGCTTTTACTTCTTAGGTATTTTATTGTATTTAGCTATTTGATGGAAATCTTATCTGAACCATAGTCTAGGGTTTTTTTTTAAATTCTTTTGTATCTATTTTTAAGATTCAATAATAAAAAGTCTTGCTTCTTGATTAGATCTTACTTTAGTCATCACTGTGTTTCAGAAGTAGGCTATACTATCACAACATCAATTTTCCAGAAATCTAACTTGTTAATCTTGAATGGCAATGCATAGTCTTATACCTTACCTGAGCAATGCTAAAAGAGTCTGCTAAAAGAGTATTTACTGTAATGAGACTGAAGATGTGTAATATAAACAAAGCTCATGGTTTACTTTTTCTCTTAGAGAAATGGATATACTAGAAATAGCTGCATTCAGTTCTTCAGTTTGTCCTTCTTCTTCATTAAGGAGTTTGTCCTTCTTTAAGGAGTTAACTCTAGAGGCAGATCTTAAAAATCTTATCTTTAATTATTTGATTTCTTGTACCTTTTGTGCCTTCAGTTATACGTAAGGCTTTTTATTTGTAATCTTTTCAAGTTAAAAGGGAACATTTCAGAGCGCTACTAGTTTTTTGTCAAAACATGAAATTGACATTCCTTATGTATTCTCAACAGCTAGCTTTTTAGGTTATAAGGAATCCAATGAGAAACAAGTATATTTTATTCAGGAAAATAACCTTTCCTGAATGACTTATCTCTTGAGTGGGTAAGAGATGTGTTAAATTATGCTGCATTGACCTGGTGTTTTGGTAAAACTATGAGATGTTTTGAAGGGAAATTGAGTGTATCTTCATGAGCTTTTATGTACAGCTTTAAAGGGGTTTATTCTCTTTCATGAATAAATTAGTTACTTTTAGAATAAGCTGCAGCGGGAAAACATAGAATATGAAAATTACCTCTAGATGAATATGTGGATTTTAGGTCTAATTCTTTAATTTTCATCTCTGATTCTAATAAATGAAATAATCAGTTTGCATTGTAAGTTTTGTTTGTCAGTTTATATGGTGAATTTGAATTAATAATCAGGAACAGATTTGATTAGGATATTAGTGGTTTTTATTAATAAACATCTCAATTATATGTTTCAAAGTAGTAATACATAAAAACTGAATTATTCTGTTCATTCTTCCACTAAAATTAGTTTTCCATCTGTTAATCTAACAGAAGAAATTGTGTATATGAAACCTGTGAAATTCTTTTGGCAGCATCTAGTGTGGTTTGTCCTCTGCTTATTGTCCTATTATTGTCAGCTCAAAAATCATATTACAGGGAATGACAGTGGCAACAACTAAACTGTTACAGTGCTAACTAACACAGTATGATTTACTTGAATTTTCCTATGATTTCTATATTTTCCTGTCTCTTCAGGTTCCCAAACAACCTCAGACAAGTCTTCCCAACGACCATCAGAGAGTATGAACTGTAGCCCTACCCGGAAGAGGTCTTCATCTGAAAGTACTTCTTCAACAGGCAAGTGCTATTTCTTTAACCAGACTTGAAAGATAATTTATCATCTGTTACTTGTGAATAGACTTAAAATATAATATTGTGTATTTATAATAAAAACTATAAGTTATATCTACACTAATGAAAAGATATGATGCAAATTGATTGTACCTTTGTGGCACCCAACAGCCAATTAGAAGTGAGGATGCAAATTAAATCAACAAAGATGGGTTAATTTGCATACACAGGTGCCTAGTGGCCAGAGGCATTCTGCACCACTGCAGCCACTCCGGGCCTCTGGGCAGCATGGGAAGGTGGAAGGGTGGCTCCAGGTCAGAGCGAAGGTGGTGCCAGCAGCCGGGGTAAAGAAGGCCCATTCTGCCGAAACCGGTTTGGCTCAGTGGATAGAGCTTCGGCCTGCGGACTGAAAGGTCCCAGGTTTGATTCCGGTCAAGGGCATGTACCTTAGTTGGGGACAAACCCCCAATAGGGGGTGTGCAAGAGGCAGCTGATTGATGATTCTCTTTCATGGATGTTTCTAACTCTCTATCCCTCTCTCTTCCTCTCTGTAAAAAGTCAATAAAATACATTTAAAAGAAAAAGGAAGGCCCATTCTTGCACAAATCTTCGTGCCTCGGGCCTCTAGGTGACATATAATATTGTATTTTAAAAAGTTGCTCTGGAGTCAGTAACAATGTACATTGAAACAGTATAATAGTCTTCCTCTTTTACTCCTTTGTATCTAGCTAGACAAATAGTAGCCCTTCCTTATCTATGGAGAAACTGTTCCAAGAACCCCAGTGGATGCCTAAAATCACAGATAATACTAAATCATGTTGTTCATGTCTTCCACCACAAATTTAATACCTTTTCCATTTTAACTAAGTAATTATAACTCTCATGGCCATAATTTTCACAGTTTGAGATGTGACAGCAAAACTGACCTGAATTTCTTTTTCCTTCTTTACAATTTCTTAGATAGAAAATTAATTTTTACTGTAAATTTTTACAACCTCAGCATATGATTTTTTTTTTTCTTTCCCTATTATGAACTTAACTTTCACCCTTTCATTTAAAGGAAGCACTTTATGGCTTCTTTTTGACATAGCCCAACTGCCAGCATCACTACTCCTGTGATTTGGGGCTGTTATTAAGTAAAATAATAATGCTAATTGAACACAAGCACTACTACACTGATACAGTAGTGTCCTGTGTTTTCAGAGTGATGCTCCTTTTTTTTTAGTGTGTGTGTGTGTGTGTGTGTGTGTATTTATTATTTATTTTCAGGGAGGAAGGGAGAGGGGGAGAGAGAGAAACATCAATGATGAGAGGGAATCATTGATCAGCTGTCTCCTGCATGTCTCACACGGGGGATTAGGTCCACAACCCGGACATGTGCTCTCCCCAGGAATCGAACCGTGACCTCCAGGTTTATAGGTTGCCACTCAACCACAGCCACGCCAGCATCTCATCATTGATGTTTCCATCTGCTTCTTCCTTTCCCTTCCTCTATCTGATATCAAGAGAAACATATATTTAAAAATATAACATTCATGAATCTCTGAGATATACAACACAATTTATAAGTTTGTAAGAAGAAAATTAATATTTATTTCTAACATCAAAATTAATAGTTTATGGATTTATAATTAGTAATATTTATATATTTTTTTATTGATTTCAAAGAGGAAGAGAGAGAGAGATAAAAACATCAATGATGAGAGAATATTCTTTTAGGAGTTTTATGGATTTAGGTCTTATATTTATGTGTTTAATCTCTTTTAATTTTATTCTTATATATGGTGTATGAAACTGGTCTGGTTTCTTCATTTTTTTTACATGTATCTGTCCAGTTTTCCAACACCATTTATTGATGAGACTATCTTTACCCATTGTATAGTCTTGCCTCTTTTGTCATAGATTAATTCACTATATAGTCTGGACTCTCTATTCTGTTTCATCGGCCTATTTGTCTACAGTTATGCTAGTCAATGCTGTTTTAATTAATATAGCCTTATAATTATAGAAAGAACTTTTTTCTTTCTCAAGATTGCTTTGGCAAGTCTGGTCTTTTATAGTTTCATATAAATTTTTTAAGTATTATAGTTCTGTGAAAAATGCTTTGGTATTTTAGTAGGGATTGAATTGAATCTAGAATCTTTGGGTAGTATGGAAATTTTAATGATGTTAATTCTTCCCTATCCATGAATTTGTACTTTTATTTTCCATGTATTTGTATCTTCTTCAGATTCTTCTTCAATGTATAGGACTTTTATCTCCTTTGTTAAATTTATATAAAATATTTTTTTAATGCAGTTGCAAATGGGATTGTTTCTTTTCTTTCTTGCTCTTTCTTTTAATTTCAGAGAGAGGAAAGGAGAGGGAGAGAGAGGTAGTAACATAAGTGATGAGAACCATTGATTGGCTGTCTCCTGCACTCCCTGCTGGGGATTGAGCTGCAGCCCAGGCATGTGCCCTGACGGGGAACTGAACCCAGGACCATCTGGATCGGGATTTTTTTCTTTGTTTGTTTGTTTGTTTGTTTGTTTGTTTTGAGAGAGTAAAAGAGAGGGAGGGAGTAGTAAGAAAGAGAGAGAAAAATACGAATTTGTTGTTCCACTTATTATGCATTCATTGGTTGATTTCCCCCCCCATGTATTTTTATTGATTTCAGAGAGGAAGGGAGAAGGAGAGCGAGAGAGAAACATAAATCATGAGAGAGAGTTAGCTATCGTTACCCATCGGCCACCTCCTGCACGTGCGCCGCTCCTTCCCTCCCCTCCCCCCCCCCAGTCAAGCCCGCAACTGGGCACATGTCCCCAACCAGAATCAAACCTGGGACCCCTCAGCACCCAGACTGATGCTCTATTTACTGAGCCAAACCAGCCAGGGCCATTGTTTGATTTTTGTATGTGTCCTGCCCTGGAATCTGAATCACAACTTGGTATATCAGGATGATACTCACCAGCTGAGCTTCCTAGCCAGACCTGTACAGATTTTTTAAATTATCATTTTAAAGCTTCACTTAAGAAGAGAGTTTTACTTCTATTCCTTTGCACTTAAGACATTGTCAGAAAAGACATTAAACTAGCAATATTGTCAATATTTAAAGTTTAGGTCTTTATCCAAGTTCCAAGATTGCTTTAACTGACAAGTCCTTTAATTAGATCTTCAGTTTTGAAGAAATTAACTCATTTTTGTCTGCTTTTCATCTCAGAGAATAAGAATTGTTGTTTTTGTAATCCACATATTATTAAGGAAATATGGGTCAATTTTGAATTTATTATGGTTACTGAAATGTACCCTATTCATGAAAGTATGCTGTCAACTTGCCTGTTAAAGACAAATGCATATGGCATTATGGTGTTTAATCTTGCTGTGAAAAATAGAGCAGTATTTCCTACCTTTTGTTCTATGTAAAAAGTTATTTAAATTACTAGCTGTGTTCAGTTTTTATCTGTGTGATTTGTCATCTTATTTAGTGAACGGAATTCCCTCTCGAAGTCCAAGATTGGTTTCTTCTGGGGATGACTCTGTGGATAGTCTGTTGCAGCGGATGGTACAACATGAGGACCAAGAGCCCCTGGAGAAAAATATTGATGCTGAGGTTGCATCTGCCTGTGTGCCACCTTCCTGTAGTCCGGGCCATAGCCACAGCAAGGAGCGAACCATGGGAAAACCAGATGGCCTTCTAGTGCCTGCAGTCCCCAGTGACTCTTGCAGTAATAGCATCTCACTCCTTTCTGAAAAGTTGCCAAGCAGCTGTTCCCCACATCATATTAAGAGAAGTATAGTGGAAGCTATGCAGCGCCAAGCTCGGAAAATGTGCAATTATGATAAAATCTTGGCCACCAAGAAAAACCTGGACCATGTCAATAAAATTTTAAAAGCCAAAAAACTTCAAAGACAAGCCAGGACAGGAAATAACTTTGTAAAACGCAGACCAGGTCGACCTCGGAAATGTCCTCTCCAGGCTGTGGTATCAATGCAAGCATTCCAGGCTACCCAGTTTGTCAGCCCAGAATTGAATGAAGATGAGGAAGGAACAGCACTACACCTTGGTCCTGATACGGTTACAGATGTCATTGAAGCTGTTGTTCAGAGTATAAACCTGAATTCAGAACATAAGAAGGGATTGAAAAGGAAAAGCTGGCTTTTGGAAGAACAGGCCAAGAAAAAGCAGAGGCCATTCCTAGAACAAGAAGAACAAGAGAATACTAAATGGTAATTCCTTGCTTAATAACATTTTTATTTTAGTAGAGGAAACTAGCTTTTATACAAATGTAACATACCTAGCGGATACATAAATCAATTAGCCATAAAACCTTTTATTATATACTAGAAGCCCAGTGCACGAAATTCTTGCACTGGTAGGGTCCCTAGAGGCTGTTGGCCAGGGCCTCTCTCCCTTCCCCAGGCTGGCCCAGCCTCCTGGTCGAACAGACAATTTGCAGGCAGTGGCAGCAGCAGAGGTGTGATGGGGCATCACCTTTCCCTGATTGCTGGGTGGCCTCCTGCCCCTGAGAGCTCCTGGACTGAGAGGGGTCAGGCTGGGCTGAGGGACTCCCCTCCAGTGCATGAATTTTCATGCACCGGGCCTCTAGAGTAGATATAAAATAGATGTCTATATAGATTGTTGCTACCACTCTATGTTCCTTTGCAATCATAAACTGCTTCTTAACCAGTAGCTATAATCCGTCTCCTAACTTTTAAGGTAACTACATTTTATATATATATTTTTATTGATTCTTTACAGAGAGGAAGAGAGAGGGATAGAGAGTTAGAAACCATCAATGAGAGAGAAACATCGATCAGCTGCCTCTTGCACACCCCTTACTGGGGATGTGCCTGCAACCAAGGTACATGCCCTTGACCGGAATCGAACCTGCTACCTTTCAGTCTGCAGGCCGACGCTCTATCGACTGAGCCAAACTGGTTTCAGTGGTAACCACATCTTTACCTTATTTTATAAAATTTAGGTATGTAACCATAGATAGTATAATTTAGTTTGTCCTTCCTGAATGTCATTGAAATGGAATTTATAAGGCATATGCTTTTGTGTCTCACCTGTTTTTGCTCTACATATACATATTAAACCATCTTTATTGCTGCATGTAGCTGTAGTTACCTTTGTTTTGTTACTAAATGGTAATCCATTATTTGTATATAATACTAGAGGCCCGATCCACAAAATTCGTTCAAGGGGCTTGGACCTTGCAACCACACAGCCTCCTGGCTTCTGTCTGGAAGGTCATTTGGCTATCTGGTCTAATTAGCATATTGTGCTATTATTATAAACTAGATCCAATGCACAAATTCATGCACCTTGAAATGTGGACCATGAGTCTGCAGTAGGCACAGGGGTGGGTCTCAGCCCATCCTCTTCACCCTCGCTCTGGCCTTCCTGCTGCAGTTCCCTGGTTCCCTGTCTGCCAGCAGCCCCACTCCCATCGCTCACACCTGCTAACTGCACGGAGTGATTGCGGCCTGCTCCATCAGCGGGAGTGAGCTGCGGCTGCTGCCCCAATTGCTCCTCAGGAGCAGGGTTGGTGGAGAAACCCTTAGGGGTGATCAAAGCTGGCACCAAGCACCAGCAGTGGGTGTGAGTGGCAGCTCCAGCATTGACTGTGGGTGCGAGCAGGGCTGGCGCCAGCAGCAGATGAAAGCACCAGGCAGGATCGCAGTGTGCGCGAACAAAGACTTTTCTGTAACCACCAGAGGCTTGCCCCAATGACAGCAACCAGTGTCCTGCCTTGATCTGGCATCCCCCTGCTTACCTTCTCCACCATCCCGCAGCAACCTGTGCCCACCATGTTTCCCATATGCCCCCTGGTGGTCAGCGCACTTCATAGTGACTGATTGTTTGGTTGTTCTGCCGCTCTATTTGCATATTAGACTTTTATTATCATTTTCCTGTTGGCTTATTTTCAGTTTGAGGTTATTATCTAAAACTGCTGCTCTTAATATTACTCTAATGTCCACTTTTGGATTTGGACACCAATTTCTCCAAGGTATATTCTTAGGGATGGTATTAACTGAATAAAGTGATGGGTGTGTCCCAAGACTTAATTTTAAGATATGGTATATTAAGATAGTATGAAACTGAGTGGGTTAGAGAAACAAATCCATTCATGTATGCAAGCTTGCTATGCGACAGAGTTGACACAATGGGGGGGAAAACAATATTCGATACATTGTGTCCCAAAAGCTGGTATTATATAAGAATGGAAATGAAATTAGATTTTGTCTTAAATTAGAAAAATTAATTCCCAGTTGATTAAATACATAAATCTAAAAGCAAAACTTAACCTTTTAGAAGCTAATATGGAAAGAGAGAAACTTCATGATTTTGTTCTCAGAAAGGATTTCATAAACAAGATATCAAAAGCAATAACTAACATACAGTAGGTAAAAATTGATAAACTGGATTATATTATAAGAATTTCTTTTCATCAAATAGCATGACAAACATAAAGTCTTGCTGCAAACTGAGAGAGGAAATTTATAACACATGTAATGTATACCTCTTTTGTATCAGATTATGTAACAACAAAAATAGTTACAAATCAACCTATATAATCTAGCAACTTCCTCTTAGATAATTAAAAAAAAAAAAAGACCTCTTGCACAATAGGCACTAGAAAACACTTTTTGAAAACGTAGTAGCAAGATTGGTTATAATGGGTAATAAAATAGAAATATCCCAAATTAACAAAAAAGGAAGTAGTATATTATTTTTTACACAGTTGAAATGTGATATGATAGTAAAAATTCATGAATTACAGCTGCAATAATTACAGATGGTTCTTGGAAACATAATATTAAATGAAAGAAATCCCTAAAAAAGATACAGTAGATAATATTTTTACTTTTAAAAATAAAATAAAGGTATTATATTGGTGTAGATAATTACATCATAAACCATCTATTAAAATGCTATACCTCTTCCTCTCTTTTTTCTCCCCTGAAAAATTTAGTTTTTAAGCCATTAGGTAGATGGCCCTGGGGTGTGTTTTGGAGTCTTAAAAGAGTAAGGGAGCCGAAACCAGTTTGGCTCAGTGGATAGAGCATTGGCCTGCGGACTGAAGGGTCCTGGGTTTGATTCCGGTCACGGGCATGTACCTTGGTTGCGGGCACATCCCTGGGTGGGGGTGTATAGGAGGCAGCTGATTGATATTTCTCTCTTATCGATGTTTCTAACTCTCTTTCCCTCTCCTTTCCTCTCTGTAAAAAGTCAATAAAATATATTTTTTTTTAAAAGAGAGAGTGAGGGAGTTGGGTGGGTGAGGGCCTGAGGGGGAAAGAGTATTGATCCAGGCCCTAGAAAAGGGTGCTGTTATTTGTTTTTTAAATGATGATCTTATTAATAGTGCCTACTTTGGAGAGTCAGGGACCAGCAAGGTTAGGAAGATGTTTAATCCCAGACCTCAGTATAAATTTTAAACATTCTATGAGTAGGCATTTGTTTTTCTTATAAGCCCTCAAGGTGATTCTGATGTATTGATCTACAGGTGGCACTTGGGAAAAAAAACATGGCCATTGGTGAATTTATATATGTAGGAGATAAGCAGGAAACCAGAAAAAAATATTTTTATTGCAGGGGAAAGAAAAATAAGGCACAGAATTAGAAGCAAATTGGGTCAGAACAGAAAAAAAAAAATTAAGTAAATAAATATTAAATTCTGTGATCAAGTAAGTTATGTAAGACTTGTTCAATATGCAGAAATCAGTTCATGTAATCCAGTACATCAGTAGGCTAACAAATAAAAATGTTACAATCTTAATAAATGTAGAAAATGAATTTTACAAAGTCATGATAAAAACTCTGAGCAACTTAGGAATAGAAAGAAACTACCTTAACGTAATAAAGACCATATATAAAACCTCCTGGCTAACCTCAATGGTAAAAGACTGAGAACTTCTCCCTAACATCAGGAATGAAGCAAGGTTGCCCACTTTTGCCACTTCAGTTCAACATAATATTGGAATTCCTAACCACAGCAATTAGGCAAGAAAAAGTAAAAGGCATCTAAATTTTGAAGGAAAAAATAAATTAGGTCTGTTCCCAGAGGCCCTGCCTTTTTTTATTTTTGTAATTCATGCAATCCGGTATATCAGTAGTCTAACAAATTATGATGAAGTATTTGCAACTTAAACTTTATCCTTCACCCAAGGATGTGTTTTATTTCATTTCATGTTATTTTCTAGTGGCCCAGTGATAGATTCATGCATATTGAAAGGCAGTTAATTAGAAGAAATATTTTAATATCGCTATTCGCCCTTTCTTTATAATAGAAGTGTCAGAGATGAAAGAAAATTAGTAAAATGTATATGAAAATAATGTAGAAATTGATTAATAAACAATAACAATATGATATAACAACAAGACATGATATAAAAATAACAAAAACATGATCTAAAAACAAAACATGATACGAAAACCTTGATAAAAAGAATGACTGATTAATTGATTAAAATTATTCTAGTATCTCCCTGTATACCACATTAAGAATAAAAACACTTTCAGAGTGCTTAACTAATTTCTCTTATAATGAAGTATTTGCAACTTTAACTTTAATGTCACATGCTCTTCATACTTGAGAGAAAGCAACATAACTGACCATGTCTGAAAACAGGTTCATGTAGGAATATTTCTTTTCTTTCTAGAGTTTGTCCTTGTGACTTATTATTCATTGCAAATGCTGGCATCATGGGAAGCTATCTTCGAATTAATTTAAATGGGAGGCCAGTGGCAGACGGGGACAAATCAATTCTTGGAATCAGAACAATTCCTCCCACAGATCCTGTTAATATTTCAGCTTTAAGAAACACACTGGTGTGGCTGGCACCAGTGAGAACTTTATATGTATCACGCATGCACGAGTCAACATTTATTTTAAATTGCCAGTTAGTGTCATATGTGCTGGTGGGACATACTGTTGGTCACTTAGCCTTTTATATAGAGAGATTTATTTATTTATTTTTAGGAAAGAGAAAGAGAAACATTGATTGGCTGCTTATCATATGTTCCCCGATTGGATATCTAACCTGGAACTTTGCTACATTCCAACCGAGTCACCCAGTCAGGTCCCAGATACCCATATCTTATATTTGGAAAACCCTAAGGATCACACACATAAACATACAACACCTTAAGCTTATAAACTAAGTAAAGTTCAGAATGCAAAATCACCATACAAAAATCAATTGCCTTTTTATACACTTCTTTCCAAAGAGAAAATTAAAACAGTTCAAGTGCTTGCTTCAGCAGCACATATACTAAAATTGGTACAATACAAAGAAGATTAGCATGGCCCCTGTGCAAAGATGATATGCAAATTTGTGAAGTGTTCTGTATTTTTTATTTTTAAGGGGGGGAAAAAAACCAGTTCTATTTACAGTAACATAAAAAAGAGTATAATAGTTAAGAATAAACTTACCCAGGAAGGCAGACTTTAACTGAAAATTTACAAAACATTGTTGAACAAAATTAAAGGAATAAGTAAATGGAAAGATAGCCTGTGTTCATGGGTTAGAAAATTTAATATTTTTAAAATATCAGTACTACCCAGGACCATCTGTAGATTCAGTGCAATCCCTATCAAAATTCCAATGATGTATTTTGCAGGAATAGAAAAATCTATTCTAAAAATCATCCTTATGAATTTCAAGGGATCCCAGATAGCCAAAACAATCTTGAAAAAGAATTGTTTGGCACAGTTTGGCACAGTGGATAGAGCGTCAGCCTTTGGACTGAAGGATCCCAGGTTCGATTCCGGTCAAAGGCATGTACCTTGGTTGCGGGTACATCTACAGGGGGCGGGGGGACACACACACGCGTGCAGGAGGCAGCTGATTGATGTATCTCTCTCATTCGTGTTTTTATTTTCCTTCCTCTCTGTAAAAAATCAATATATTTAAAAAAGAAAGAAAGAAAAAGAATAAATTTAAGTTTCTTAATTTTTCTCCCATTTTTGCTCAGGCTGTGACCTTTATTATGATGTTGAATATAAGTGGTGAAACTAAGCATTTGCCTTGTCCTTGATGTTAGGTAAATTGTATTGTCATTCACCATTAAATACAAAGCAAAAAAGAACTCTAGGAAATTCCCTGCCATGTCAGTGCTTTAGGTCCCAAAGTCTCTAGGCAATCTGTTTGCTTATGTTTATTTGATATGAAATTTCCAAGATTTTTAATTGTACTTAGTGGAAGGATTGTTCCATCTTTGCCTGGAACTGGAATCACCTTAATTTTTAAAAGTTTTTTTCTATTTCTTTAGAATTTTTAATGAATTCAGAGGCATTTCTCCCCCCCTCCTTTTTAGCACTATAGTAGATGTTATTTCATTGCCTTCTGATTGCATTGTTTCATACATGAAAGCTGCACTCATTCTTATTTTTGTACTACTGTATATATCATGTATTTTTTTCTCTGACCCCTTTTTATTTTCTTCAATAATTTTCAGCAAGTTTATTATGGTATGCTTTACTTGTTTTATTTGAGTTTATATTTCCGATGGTTTGTTTAGTGTCTTGGAACTTTGAGTTTATAATTTTTATCAAATTTGGAAAAATTTTGACCAGTACTTTAAAAAAATAATTTTTTCATTATGAAATTTTTTACGTTGTGAATATTAAATTATTGTGTCTGGTTTTTGTTCTTTTCATAGTATTTAATTTATTTTGATAGGCAATTAAGTGACTTGTAGATTAGCTTGGATTCTTTTGAAGATTGTTTTTAAGCTCTATTGGGATTTGGCTTTAGTCCAGATATAGTTAAGCCCTACAAAAATGGGTAATACTGCCCTTTGGGATCACTATTGAGTGTCCCTGGTATTGGGTAATGTCTTTCTACTGTGCCTCATGAAATCTGAGTATCCACCATCATGTAAGAGCTCTGGGAATTACCCAGGTTATAGTCCTCTGGTAGTTCTTTGACTGGCCTTACAGAATTTCACCCTGCACATGCACAACTTAGTATCCAGCAGTATACTAAAGGAAATCCATACACAGATTTATAGAGTTATTTTTCTCTATAACTTTCCTCACTTCAATATTCTGCCCCATGATTTCCAGCTACCTCAGCCTCTCAATACTCTGATCGCTCTCTTTTCAACTGTTCTACTTCCTCATAAAGGGAAAGTGGTTATAGGACTTTCTCTTCTTCCCTCTCATTTTTTATTTTGTTTATTGTTTGTGAGTGTTTCCAGTTTTTCTCAGGGATCACAGTGCTGCACTATTTTCTGATGTCTATTGGTTGTTTCATAAACATTATCCAGGTTTACAGTACTTTACTGTATTTTATTAGTTTCTGTCAGGAGAACAAGTGTGGTATCTATTATTCCAGCATAGCCAGATGAGAAAGACTCCATATCTCCTTTTTTAAATTGCTGTTATGGTTTTTAAAATAAATCATTTGTAGGAAGATATTTTTTTCACCATAAAATTATCTTTAAACTTCTTTTTATAGCTTTACTGAAGCAGCAGTTGAGATTCCCAGTCCTCCTGAAACCCCAGCCAAACCTCTTGAACCTGAAAGCACCTTGCAACCCGTGCTTTCTCTCATCCCAAGAGAAAAGAAGGTCCCACGTCCCCCAAAGAAGAAGTATCAGAAAGCAGGGCTGTATTCTGATGTTTACAAAACTACAGAGTAAGTAATAGTATCTATCAGCTGGCATCCTTTAAAGATCTTTTATTCTTCCATGTTTAAAAAAAACTTTGACAATCGTAAAGCACATACAAATGTAAAATACACAAATGTGAATCTCATCACAAACACCTAAATATTCACTGTAATACCACCAACACACTGTTGTTCCAGGCTGATATATCTTCTCTGATCTTTACCTACTCTCTGTCTTTCCAGATGACATTTCTATAGTTTGGATTCTAATGATATTTGGGGTTTTTTTGTTAATTAGAAATAATGGCATTTTGCATGTACTAAAATAATCTTGATGATTAATCTACATTCATTCCTCTTTGGTTGAATGTTTTCTATGTTCTAAGTACTTTGTAAGATATACCTTACTTAAAAAAAACTTAATTCCTTGGGAAAATATAGCATAATAAGCAATCTAATTGAGAAGTTTTAAAGCCCCCAAAGGGATATCATTGAATAAGAAGTGTTTTTATAGCACTGGCCAGATAGCTCAATTGGTTCGAGTGTCGTCTCAATATGTAGTTTGCGGGTCTGATCTCCATTCAGGGCACATACAAGAATCAACCAATGAATACATATATAAGTGGAACAACAAGTCTCTCTCTCTCTTTCTCTCTCTCTCTTTCTCTCTCTCTCTCTCTCTTCCCCTCTCCCCCTTTCCTCTTGCTCTAAAGTCAATAAAATTTTAAAAAATAGAATATAGTTGGGTTAGAGATTCAATAGTAGTTTCCAAGGTGAAAGAAGGGCATTTCATTTAGAGAGACTAGAATGTGAAAGACAACATTAGGTTGTAAAGATTTTTCATGTATTACAACTCAGAAGTTATGTTTTTAAAATGCAGTGGGTGTTGTGGAAAATAAGCATTGCTTCCCAGAATCCAAGCTGATCTACAAGTAACTTAACTGCCTACCAAAATGAATTGAATACTGATTTAACCAAAAAACCATATACTTTACTAACTGTAAGATATTTTCTTATCCCATTAAGCTACAGGAAATTTTAAAATGATATTTTTAGGAAAGGAAGTGAAAATGCGAGCTATGATGCGCGCTGACCCCCAGGGAGCAGATGTTCAATGCAGGAGCTGCCCCCTCGTGGGCAAAGTGCTCCCACAGCCAATCTCCCCTAGCTGGCTGGCCCTGATCAGGATTAAGCAAGATGGCCCTGATTGGCCCCAATCCCAGCCAGGCTGAGGGACTCCATTCGTGCACAGATTTCATTCACCAGGCCTCTAGTTATAAATAATTAATTCTGGAAGCTCAGTCTGTCATTTAGGAATGGAAAAGGGTTGAGTGGGAGTCCATGATCACATTTATTTTGTTATATTTTTTAAATAGGCTTGGCTCTCTAGTTTTATGTCTAAGGAAAATGTGTAGTAGCTAGCATTGAATAGGGAGCATCTGTGTTGCGCTAGCCCCCTCTAGTGAGTAAAATGTTTTGAATATGTTTTTATTTTTCAATTACAATTGGAAAAAAAATTATATTAGTTTCAGGTGTATAACCTTATATTAATTAGACATTTAGATAACTTATGAAGTGATCACAATAAATCTTGTACCTATCTGACACCATACTACATAATACAGTATTACTATATTTCTTATGCTATATATACTTTACATGCCCATGACTATTCTGTAACTATCATTTTGTACGTTTTAAAATTAATTGAATTAATTTTATTTTTTTTAATATATTTTATTGGTTTTTTACAGAGAGGAAGGGAGAGGGATAGAGAGCTAGAAACATCAATGAGAGAGAAACATTGACCAGCTGCCTCCTGCACACCTGCTACCGGGGATGTGCCTGCAACCAAGGTACATGCCCTTGACCGGAATCGAACCCAGGACCCTTCAGTCCCCAAGCCGACGCTCTATCCATTGAGCCAAACCGGTTTTGGCATTGCTCTCTCTTTCTCATTCACATACCTATACACACATTTTTTCTCAATTATTGAAAATTTTCTCAGTGATTGAAAGTTATAGACATTTTGACTCATAAATATTTCAGTATATATTTCCTCCAAACAAGTATATTGTCTTATACAAACAGGTCACAAATATTAAAATCAGGATCTTTAAAATGCTATACTACTATTATCTAACATACAGTTCATAATAAAATTTTTTATAACAGTTGTGTTTTTTTTTTTAGAGAGTACAGAAGAATTGCTTTGCAGAGGGTCTTTAAATTTGCATTAGTCATGCTGGGACCAGTTTGGCTCAGTGGATAGAGCGTCGGCCTGGGGACTGAAAGGTCCCGGGTTTGATTCCGGTCAAGGGCATGTACCTTGGTTGCGGGCGCATCCCCAGTAGGGGGTGTGCAAGAGGCAGCTGATCGATGATTCTCTCTCATCAATGTTTCTAACTCTCTATACCTCTCTCTTCCTCTCTGTGAAAAATCAATAAAATATATTTAAAAATAAATAAATAAATAAATAAATAAATAAATAAATAAATTTGCGTTAGTCTGATGTTTCTTCATAAGTAGATTAAAGCTGTGCATTTTTTGCAGGAAAAGTAATGTTTTCTTCTCAGTGCATCAACAAGATAAGTAATAACAAGTGTTCGAGAAGTGGTAGAGAAAAGAGGTGGTGCTGGTGGGAATGTAGACTGGTACAGCCACTGTGGAAATTGGCAGTTCCTCAAAAACTTAAGACTAGAATTACCACCTGACCCAGCAATCCTTCTCCTGGGTATATACTTCAAAAAAAATCTATTTGCAACAATAAATGCACCCCTATGTTCTTTGAAGCATTTTTCATGGTGGTCAAGACATGTAGATAAACCAAAGTGTCCTGCGACAGAGGATTAGATAAAAATGTTGTACATGTACACAATGAAATATTACTCAGCCATACAAAAGGTGAAATACTTCCTTTTGCAACAACATGGATGTACCTAAGTGAAATAATTCAACCATAAAGAGCTAAGAACCTTATGATTTCATTCATGTGGGGTATAAAACTGAAACTCAGGAACACAAACAGCAGTGTGGTGGTTGCCAAGGGGAAAAGGGTAGTGGGAATGGTAAAGGGCTTAATGTATGGTGATAGATGATTTGACTTTGGGCGGTGGGCGTACAGTGCAATATACAAATCTTGTGTCATAGAAATGTGCAACTTAAGCCACAGGTCAAAAGGAAACACCTAGCACAAAAATTTACTATTTACCTTACTATAACTTAGCAGTTTTATATCTGAAGTAGCTACTCTTCATTCCTACAGGTATAAAGATTTTTCTCCTGAGTTATTTGAACTAGCAGTGTCATACAAACAAATGATTATATCACAGAAAATGCTAGGAGTGTTCAGAATCTCCAACACAAATTAACAAAAACAAACTAATTCTCTCTCTTAATCTGCTACTCTGCCAAGCTCACATGGAACAAAATATTTAAAATGTGATAGATGCCCTAGGCCGGTTTGGCTCAGTGGATATAGTGTCGACCTGCGGATTGAGGAGTTCCAGGTTCAATTCCAATCTAGGGCACATGCCCAGGGTTGCTCTGGATGGCTGGGCAACTGCCATCTGTGGCTTGCCTGAGCCTTGGGCCAGCCCTGGGCAGCTGGGGGCTGAAGGGACTGGGTGCTCCATCTTGTGGCTGTGGGTGCTGCCATATTTGTGATGGTGTGAGTGTCAATTAGCATATTCCCTATTATTAGGATAAATCGTTAGTGAAATATAAGGTTATCATTAGGATCAAATCTGAAAATGAGGTTTCTTCTGCAAAACTATTGGAGAATACTAATGTTGCTCTTCCTTATGTGTAATTCCTAAAAGGCTATTCCAAAAACATGTATTTAAAAAATATATGAAGGTACTTGGTATCTGTCCCTCCAAAAATATGCATTTAAGACTAAATCTAGGGCAAGATAAGTCATTGACCCAATACACTCAGATTGCAGGTTCAATCCAAAGTCATGGCACATATAAGAGTCAACCAATAAATGCATAAATAAGTAGAACAACAAATCAATGTTTTCTTGTCTCTATCCCCCCCACCCCCACCTTCCTCTCTCTCTCTAAAATCAAACAAAAATATTTAAGGTACTATTAAAGCAAATAGTCTTCATAGAATGAGAAAATGCTAATGCCTCTCTCTCTTTTTTTTTTTAATCATAGTCCAAAGAGCCGATTGATTCAGTTAAAGAAAGAAAAGCTGGAATACTCTCCAGGAGAGCATGAATATGGATTATTTCCAGCCCCAATCCATGTTGGTGAGTATACACAGTATATTGTCAGAAAAATGGGTTTTTTCTTCAGTTTGGGTGAAATGTTTCGGCATTCGTGCTATTATTTATATCTATTGGGGTGAAGCTCTTTTTATGTTTTACTATTTAATTTATACTTAACTCTAAAAAATTCTGCAAACTCTTTACTGTCTAGGAGTCAAAATTACATAAATCTTACTCACTGGAGTTTCAGTAAACAACACTATACCTGTAGCATTTGATTCCCTAAATATGTCATCTTGAAAAACCCAACTATTCATCAATCCACTTTCATATCTCAAAAGGAGTGAGATTATTTATGGATATGTAATAAAGGAAATAGGCCCCATGCTTTTCCTAATCTTTATCTGAAAATTAGGCAAGATTTTTTTTTTTTTTTTAAGAGGATATGTCAAGGCCTTGTTTAGCATCTGGGTCCTACTATAAAGCATGCCAAATAAGTACCGTATTTTTCGGACCATAAGACGCTCCGGACCATAAGATGCACCAGTTTTTAGAGAAGGGAAATGAAGAAAAAAAGATTCTGAAACAAATAGTGTCCTAAAATATTTTATGTGCATTAAAACCCAACATCACAGTCATAAACACATGTAATCAACCCTGTAAAGTAAACAGCAGCATTTTGAACCATTTTAGAGCCGGGCAAGTAAAAAAACTTTTTTTTTAAAGTATATGTGTAGGCTATATTTGGACCATAAGACGCAGGGACTTTTTCCCCCCACTTCTGGGGGGAAAAAAGTGCGTCTTATGGTCCGAAAAATACGGTATATAGGTCCTACCTCCTAGGGTCTTACTATAAAGCATACCAAATAAGTAAAAAGTTCCTAGAAGTCATCCTAAATTCTTCCCATTTTTTCAACACCTTATCTAGTCCATCTCCAAGTTTTTTTATTTTCATTCTTACAATATATCCTCCTTTCCAAGTTCCATTGCCATCATTCAAGCCCATGCCACTATGCCATAGCCTTCTAATAGATCTCTCCGCTTCCATTGTTTGTTTGTTTGTTTTTATATTTTTTTATTGATTTTTACAGAGAAGAAGGGAGAGAGAGAACTAGAAACGTAGATAAGAGAGAAACATCGACCAGCTGCCTCTTGTATACCCCCTACTGGGGATGTGCCCACAACCAACGTACATGCCCCTGACCGGAATCGAACCTGGCACCTTTCAGTCCGCAGACCAACGCTCTACCACTGAGCCAAACCGGCTTCGGCTCTCCGCTCCCATTGTTTCCTTCCAGTTTTCCAATCCACTCTCCACACAATAAAAGGAGAAATGATTTCATAACTTGAACAGATTATACTCAAAACCTTTCAGTGGCTTTCCATTGGAGAAATTGATGCACTGCTTATTCTGACTTTTAAGAATGATATGGCCCCTGACTACCCCATTATTCCCATATATCTTTTCCTATCTTTCCCTTATTCACTGTATTAGGCCATGCTGGTCTTCTTTCAAATCCTAGAATATTCCAAGCTCTTTCCCTCAAGAAGATTGCTATACTTATTATTCCCATTGCCTGGAAATCCCTTCAAACTCTTCTCATGTTTGTTTTCCTCTCATTCTTTAAGGATTAGCTGACAATATCAGCTTATATATAATTTTCCTTAAAATTACATTCATGGCCCTGGTCAGTGTGGCTCAGTTGGGTGTCATCCGATACACTAAAGGCTTCGAGTTCAATTCCCTATCAGGGCACATGTCCAGGTTTCAGGCTCTATTTCCAGTAGGGGCTTGGAGGAGGCAGCCCATCAATATCTTTATTGAAAATATTACATGTCCAAACCGGTTTGGGTCAGTGAATAGAGCGTCAGCCTACAGAATCAAGGGTTCCAGTTCGATGCCAGTCAAGGCCATGTACCTTGGTTGCAGCACATCCCCAGTAGGGGGCATGCAGGAGGCAGCTGATTGATGTTTCTCTCTCACTGATGTTTCTAACTCTCTATCCCTCTCCCTTCTTCTCTGTAAAAAATCAATAAAATATATTTTTTTTAAAAGGAAGAAAATAATACATATGTCCTCTTTTTTTTCCCATTGACTCTTTCTCGCCCACCCCCACTCTTTCCCAGCCTCCGCCCCAGACCTTCACCACACTGTTGTCTTTGTCCATGGGTTATCCTATATTAGGGGTGTCAAACTCAATCAGAGAAGGGGCCAAAATCTAAAATCCAGCCTAAATCGTGGGCCGAATGGTTTACTGAACAGTCATAAACTGTCATTGTGATGGAAACCCAGCGGAGTGCAGTGATGACAGCGCAGTGCGGGCCACATTGCAAGGCCTGGCGGGACGGATTTGGCCCTCGGGCCTTGTGTTTGACACATGTGTCCTATATAATGAAAGCCTAATATGCAAATCGACTTAACTGTGGAGCAACCAGTCATTATGACACACACTGACCACCAGGAGGCAGGCGTTCAATGCAGGAGCTGTGTGCAGGCCCCAACAGGGTACGGGGGTACCAGGCCAACCAAGGCGCTTGCCAGTGGAGATCCCCCGTTCCGACCTCTATTGCATATATGTTCATACAAGTTCTTGATCTCACATCAGTGTTCTTTCTCTCTTTCTCCCTTCCTCTCTGTCCAAAAATCAATTTTTAAAAATCTTTAAAATAATAACAAATAAAAAATACAATAAAATTGTTCTCATGATTGTCCATCATGGAGGGTTCTTCCTTTATTCTACATCACAGAACCTTGTTTTTCTTTTTATAATCTATTAGAGACCTGGTGCATGAATTCGTGCACTAGAGGGATCCCTTGGCCTGGCCTGTGGGATCAGGCTAAAACCAATTTTCCAATATTCCCCGAGAGGTCCCAGATGGAGAGAGAGTGCAGGCCAGGCCAAGGGAACTCACCGGTGCACTATTGGGGCCAGGGAGAGACGTAGGAGATTGTCAGGCCTGTCTCAGTCCTGATAGGCCAGATTGTTAGGCCTGTCTCAGTCCTGATAGGCCAGATTGTCAGGCCTGTCTCAGTCCTGATAGGCCAGATTGTTAGGCCTGTCTCAGTCCTGATGGGCCATACCCCAGCAGCAAGCTAACCTGCTGATCAGAGAATCTGTCCCGTGGTGGTCAGTGCACATCATAGCGTCTGGTCAGCCAGTTGACTGTCCCCTAGTGGTCAGTATATGTCATAGTGAGTGGTTGAGCAGCCTTAGCATATCATTAACATATTATAATTTGTTGAACAGCTGACCAGATGACTGGATACTTAGCATATTAGGCTTTTATTATATAGGATAATTACTATACTTTATTAATTTTTATCTGACTCCCCTATCCTATATAATAAAAGCATAATATGCAAATTGTCCCCTAGATGGATAGTTTGACCAGGGGGCGAGGCCAGCCAGGGAAAGGGAGGGGCCAGCCGCTAGGAAACCTACCTGTGCATGAATTTCGTGCACTAGGCCTCTAGTTATGTTGTTAACTCCAGGAGTGTAGGATCATTTGTCTTTCTTATTCTCCTTTGATTTCCCAGTGCCTAATTTTTTGTTGTATAAATGAAAGAAGAGAAAAAGAAATTAGGATAAATTGCTGAATGTAGATGACAGTTTTTTCTCAGGAACAACTTATTGTGTAGCAGATGTTGATCCTATGCACTATAATGTTCTCTTAAACTATGACTCTCTTGACCCTTTTGATTAGGGACTCTTCTCTGGTTTATGATTATTGAATCTCCTTTTTCTCCCTAAAGGGCCCAACATCATAAGGTATTTAAAGTAGCAGGTTTAGACAAGTTTTGCAATAAATATGAGTTATTGTATATTGAGTGACTGGAGAATGGTGTAACTACAACATAGAGTTACAAGGCTTAATTCTTAGCTCGGTAACTATGCTAGTACTTAATGAAGGTAAGAGTTCAGCTCCATGTTCTCTAGGTATAATGCCAAAGTTCTCTTAAAAGAACCTTTTGTTTTTATTAGTGATGTGTAGCAATGGAAGCAGTTTCTTAGCAGATTGTGCTATTTCCTAGAACCTGCTAGTGATAAATAGCTTTGAAAATAAGTAATTTACAAGTCCCATTTAAAGGAAAACACAGCCATTTTGGTCTTACTGGTTTTATCCTGTTTGGGAAATTAACTTAGATCTTGAATGAAACTCTATGCAAGGGAATGAAGGAAACAGTTAATTCCAAGGGAGAAAGGGGGGAATGATGGGTAGATTAATATTTCTTGTCATGTCTCTGGCATGAATTAGTGGTTAACAAGTCTAGAATGGAAATTCCTTTATTTAAATAAAGATTTTATCTCTGCATCTCCACTTTAGTTCTAATAAGACTAATTTGTATTCAATAAATAAAAAATAGAAAAATTTATCCAAGTAGTGGCTCTTTTCTCTGGTGAATCAGGACTTTATCTTTTCTTTAAATCCTCCTCCTAGGATATGTTTTTATTGATGAGAGAGAGAGAGAGAAAGGACCATTGATGTGAGAGCCTTCTGTATGCACCCCTTCCGGGAATTGAACATGCTACCTTTTTGTGTATGGACTACACTCCAACCAACTGAGCCCCCCAGCCAAGGCTGAAACAGGATTTTAAATCAGACTGTTGCACAATATATATTTTTTGTGGGTGTGCTATTTTGTCTTTCAAATAATCTTTTATGATAGGAATAGAGGCCCAGTGCACAGTGTCCCTCAACCCAGCCTGCACCTTCTCCAATCGTGGACCCCTCGGGTGATGTCCAACTGCTGGTTTAGGCCCGGCAGCCAGATATCCCTCTCTCAATCCGGGACTGCTGGCTCCCAACTGCTCGCCTGCCTGCCAGCCTGCTCACTCCTAACCACTCCCCTGCCAGCCTGATAAAGGCCTAACTGCTTCCCTGCCAGCCTGATCGACACCTAACTGCTGCCCTGCCGGCCTGATTGTCCCCAACTGCCCTTCCCTGCTGTCCCGATCGCCCCCCAACTGCCCTCCCATGCTGGCCCAGTAACCCCCAATTGCTCTCCCTTGCAGGCCTAGTTGCCCCTAACTGCCCTCCCTGGCCAGCCCAGTCACTCCTAACTGCCCTCCCACACAAGCCTGGTCCCCTCCAACTGTCCTCTCCGGCAGGCCTGATAGCCCACAACTACCTTCCCCTGCTGGCCATCTTGTGCAACAGCATGAGGGCCAATTTGCATATTACATCTTTATTATATAGGAGAGAGAGGGTGGATACTCAGCTGTTTTAAACTGGTCACTTCCAATATCATGTAAACAAAGAGCATGACAGTCAGCTAGACCTGGGTTTATCTCTGTCTTTGCTATATTAGTTATATGAATAAAATAGATATATAAACAAAATCAAATGCAGCTTACCATTGGAGTCATATTTAATAAATGTAAAGTAATATTTTTATTTTTAAAATATATTTTTATTGATATTTTACAGAGAGGAAGAGAGAGGGATAGAGAGTTAGAAACATCGATGAGAGAGAATCATTGATCAGCTGCCTCTTGCACACCCCCGACTGGGGATGTGCCCGCAACCAAGGTACATGCCCTTGACCGGAATCGAACCCGGGACCTTTCAGTCCGCAGGCCGACGCTCTATCCACTGAGCCAAACCGGTTTTGGCAGTATTTATTTTTTAAATGTTTAATAAAATCAAGTTTATTTATCTTAGGGAAATAAATTTTAATTCTCAAACAAGGATATGCTTTTATTTATTTTTAAGAGAGAGAGAGAAACATTGAGCTAAGAAACATCAATTGGTTACCTTCTGTATGCACCCCAACCAGAGATCAAACCCTCAACCTAGGTTGCCATTCACTGTAAGTCATTCAGACTTATGCCAAACCTTGACTGCTTTCCTAATATAATGGAAAGAACATAGGGCTCTGTGCAGAAAAGAATTAACATAGCAGACTTAAGACTTTTATTCTTAGAACCTCCTTCTTGCTAGGTTGTCCGTTACCTGGCATCAAGGAACTTGAAAACCATACACAGTTTCCTCTATTGAGATAAAATCCCTAGATAGTAATAGCAGTGTTTTACTGTGTGTAAATTCTATGGTTTCCACTGAACACCTGCTTTCATTCTAAAAGTCTGGATTTTTGGTACATTCTAGGCAGAGGGTACTTATATGACCAGCCACCAATTAAAACATTGAGTAATGAATTTCTGATGATCTCCCTTGATAGACAATGTTTCACAAATGTCACAAAGCCTTGTCAACGATTTCATCTTATTTGACTCCACTAGGAGAGAACTTTAAATCTGTGCCTGGTTGCATCCATATTTTGCCCAGTTGCCTTTTTATCTTTACTGATTTTGCTATGTATCCTTTTGCTATAATGACCATGAGTATAACTATTGTATATGCTGAGTCCTGTGAATCACCAAACCTAAGAGTAATCTTGGGGAATCCTTGACACACCTTAGAATCAAGCACATATGAACTCCTCTTCCCATTCCATACTCTTGTAGCTATTTGACCTTGGACAATTTACTTATCTACTCCACATCTTAGCATTTTCATCTACATATTGAAATTGCTTTCATCCTAAATAGTGAGGATTATGTGAAACTTATTTTGTACTAACACAGAGTGACTACCCGTTCCCCTTGACTTACTATAACCAAATACTCAATGTCAGTGAGAAGAGCAAAGCCATCCCAATCATTTCTATAAAACTGGGGTATAAGTAGAAATAAGTAAATAATAAAGAGTAGAAATCAATAAAATATTAGAGGTTTGAAAAGAGCAACAAAATTCACAACCTCTAGCTGCACTGAGCAAGAAAAAAGTAAGAGATAGCCGAAACCGGTTTGGCTCAATGGATAGAGCATCGGCTTGGGGACTGAGGGGACCCGGGTTCGATTCTGGTCAAGGGCATGTGCCTTGGTTGCGGGCATATCCCCAGTGGGGGGTGTGCAAGAGGCAGCTGATCAATGACTCTCTCTCATCAATGTTTCTAGCTCTCTGTCTGTCTCCCTTCCAATCTGTACAAAAACAATAAAATATATTTTAAAAAAAAAAGTAAGAGATAACACAAATTACTGGTATCTATGCAATAGGTTCTACTGTCATTAAGAAGCTAATAAGGGATTATTCTGAATAACCTTAGGCCAGGACATTGAACAATGTAGATGAAATGGATAAATTCCTTTAAAAATACTTAAAACTGATGCAAGATGAAATAGAAAATCTGAATAGACTATATTATGTAAATAGGTTGAATTCCTGCATTCATTGCATTTCCCCCCATATAGTTTCTCTCTTCCTTTCTCTTGCTCTAAAGTCAATGAATAAAATTTTTTTAAAATAAACATATCTAAAATTTTACCCTAAAAATGAAAACAATTATCTGAGAAAGACATAAATAAATGGAGAAATACGCTGCATTCAGAGATTGGAAATATTTGGTACGATATAAATTATATAACCAGTAGGCTTTTCTATAAAAACTGATAAACTGGTTCTAAAATTCATATGGAAATGCAAAAGACCTAGAATCTTCAACATGATCTTTAAATAAAACTTATTGAAAGACATTATCAGGCTTCAAGAGTTACTATAAAGCACTTTTTAAAAAATATATTGATTTTTTTTACAGAGAGGAAGGGAGAGGTATTGAGGGTTAGAAATATCGATGAGAGAGAAACATCAATCAGCTGCCTCCTGCACCCCCCCCCCCCCACACACACACACACACACTGACACACACCGTCAGTGCAGGAGCCAGAGGCACAGAGAGCAGCACACATATCCACACACTGGGGATATGTCTGTAACACAGGTACATGCCCTTGACTGGAATTGAACCTGGGACCTTTCAGTCCGAAGGCCGACGCTCTATCCACTGAGCCAAACCGGTTTTGGTTATAAAGTACTTTTAATCAAAACTGAGGTATTGGCATTCATATATGGAACAGCAGACATAGCCCAGAAATAGAACCACTTTCTATTTTTATTTGATTTGTACACAGGTACAAGCCCTTGACCAGAATCAAACCCACAACCCTTCAGTCCATGGGCCAGAGCTCCAGCCACTGAGCCAAACTGGCCAGGACCCTGCATTTTGTTTATTCATTCATTCGTCAGTGGACATTTGTTTCCACCTTTTTACAATTCTGAATAATGCTGCTATGAACATTAGTTTACTATTCTCTTTGAGAACTCTGCTTTCAGTTTTTTGTTGTTGTTAATCCTTACCTGAGACTATTTTTCCATAGATTTTTAGAGAGAAGGGAAAAAATAAGGGAGAGAAAGAACATTTTAGTGAAACTATCAACTACTTTATTAATATAGAAAGATCTTGCAAAACATCTTTATTGAAAAACAGCAATGTATTCTTGTCACACTTAAAAATATTTAACTTTATTTTAACTATTAACTTAAACATTATATATATATTTTAACTTTAAATAGTTGTTATTCTTTAATTGATTTTTCTCTACTCATATAGGAAATTGATTTTATACAAGTGAATGATAGATATGATTTTTAAATTTTCTCTATATATAGGTTTGTTATGTTTTTGAGAAATTGCTTTCAAACCATAAACATATATTATATAAATCTTTAACATCTGTTTTCTCAATTGATCAATAAAATATTGAATAATATTCCTTCAAAAAAATGCAGAAGGGTGATATAAAGAAGGAAATTGAAGAAGCCTCTTTAAGGTACAAAGGGGGCTTTGAAATTGACTTTAAATAGTAATATTTTAATATTTAAGAAGTTAATTATGAAAATCCATTTAAACACTATTGAGTTTCAAGGAATCCTATTATTAAAAACTCTTATACTTTCCCCCTTTTTAAAATACATTTTTATTGATTTCAGAGAGAAAAATATAGGAACATCAATGATGAGAGAGAATCATTGATCTGCTGCCTCCTCACGCCCCCTACTGGGGATTGAGCCCAAAACTTGGGCATGTGTCCTTGACTGGAATCGAACCTGGGACCTTTCAGTCTGCATGCTAACGCTCTATCCACAGAGCCAAATCAGCTAGGGCTATTCTTCCCCTTTTTATAATCAGCTTTATATTGTGCTTAATAATGAAGGAGAATAGCCGAAACCGGTTTGGCTCAGTGGTAGAGCGTTGGTCTGCGGACTGAAAGGTCCCAGGTTCGATTCCAGTCAAGGGCATGTACACTGGTTGCGGGCACATCCCTAGTAGGGGGTGTGCAAGAGGCAGCTGGTCGATGTTTCTCTCTCATTGACGTTTCTAGCTATCTCCCTTCTTCTCTGTAAAAAATCAATAAAATATATATATATTTTTTTAAATAATGAAGGAGAATAGATGCCAGGTGCTCTAGGTAGTAATTTTAATAAACAATTCCTGCCCAACTGGTGTTGCTCAGTGGTTGAATGTCAACCCATGAACCAGAAGATCACTGCTTCAATCTCTGGTTAGGGAATATGCTGGGATTGAGGGCTTGATTCTTGGGTTTGGGAGGGGCATGCAGGAGGCAGCTGATGATGTTTTATTCTCATCAGTGTTTCTATCTCTCTATTCCCTTCCTCTCTCTAAAAATCAATAAAAATTTTAAAAAATAATCATAATAATAAATTCTTAGTGTTTTTTTTGCTTCATAATGTCCTGTATTTTTGGTAGTAACTTTGCTAGTTGTTTTATATAGATGATTAAAATGTGTCTTTAGTGACTTATGCTAGTTGTTTGGTAGTAACTTATGCTAGTGTTTTATATAAACAATTAAAATGTGTCTTTAGTATGAAAAAATAAGTAAAAATTAAAGATTAGTGATGGAAAAATCCATAAAGCTAAAAATTAGATTTTTATTTTTCTAGTTAGTGCATATTAGATCTTGTGTATCAATAGATGTTTAAATTAAGTTTTTTGTTATTGTTGTTTTTGTTTCAGGAAAGTATCTAAGGCAAAAAAGAATTGACTTCCAGCTTCCTTATGACATCCTTTGGCAGTGGAAACATAATCAGGTACAATGAATCTATCTTTCCAGGTTTCATCCTTAAGGCATGGCAGAGAGGGAATGCAGATCTTTTTCTCTGCCTCCTTGTTATGCTATCATTTTAGGAAATATAAAGTGTCCCTGTGAAGGTTAGAGACTAAAAAAAAAAAAGATTTTGCATTCATATTTAATGTGACCTATTTGCCTTTACTCATAATTCAAAATAGCAGTGAGTTTCTACTTTCCTCAGCAATCTTCCGTTATTATTCTGGACTTTTATTTTGGTAGCATAGATTCTGTTCTGTAAGAATCCTGTTTGATGCAGGTCTCCAGAGAATGTAGATGTACTGAGCAGCATGAAGAAATTTCAGGCTTTATTTTTGTTGGCTCCTTCCCATCAGTTTGAAATTTTTTTCACATACAAAGGAAACAGGGAAAATGTTTAACACTCTTATGCTTTTAAAAGATCTTTAAATATATTGGGAACTAAAAATAGGAAGATACTATTTTTCCCTCTTCCCTAATTGAAATATTTTTCCCAATAAATTTTTGATTTTTTTTTTTTTTTTTTTTTTTTGAGAGAGAGAGAAACATCAATTTGTTGTCCCTCTTATTTATTCATTGGTTGATACTTGTATGTGCCCTGATCAGAGATTGAATCCACAGCCTTGGCCTATCAGGAAGATGCTCTTACCAGATAAGAAACCTGGCCAGGGCAGTCCCCAATAATTTTTGTGTTAAGCTATGGGCCCCAAACCCCATACTGAGAACAACCATCCATATATATATATATATATATATATATATATATATATATATATATATATATATATATATATATATATATATATATATATAAAAGCCAGCAACCAGAACAACTGGTCGCTATGATGCCCACTGCGGCCAGCCTGCAAACCCCTACAGCCCCTTGCCCAGGCCGGCCCTGCCCCGCTACAAGAACTCCCACCCTGTTTGGAGGCTTGGCTGGCCTACAAACCCCTGGTAGCCCCTCACCCAGGTCAGCCCCATCCCCCAGTGGGGACCCGCCCACCCTATCAGGGCAGGCCAGCTGGTCCCCACCCATGCACCAGGCCTCTATCCTGTAATAAAAGGGTAATGTGCAAATTGACCCTAATGGCAGAACAGCCAGAACGACCGCTGGACCAGTCACTATGAGGCGCACTGACCGCCTCTGGCTGGCAGGCTTCGTCACCTGATGGCCACCCATGGTGAGGGCGGGGCCAAGGAGCAGGCAGGAACAGCCAACCTCTCAGTCCCTTCCCCTGGCCATCAGGCATTGATCATCGGATGATAAATGGGAAACCAGTGGTAGGTGGTGGCGTAGGGCAGAGCCAGCTGCAGACAGCTAGGGAAGATGGCCCTGATCATAGGCCAGGCCAACTGACCATACCCATGCACAAATTTCATGCGCTGAGCCTCTAGTTTGGGGAGAGAAAAAAAAAAAGTCACACAGGCGAGGTGAATAAGCTCTTGAGTTTTGCCAAAATTCCACCAAAGTTTAATTTTATATATATATATTTTTTTTTTTTTTAATTTTTTTATTTTTTTATTTTTTTTTACAGAGAGGAAGGGACAGAGATAGAGAGCTAGAAACATCGATGAGAAACATCAACCAGCTGCCTCCTGCACGCCCCCCCACCGGGGATGTGCCTGCAACCAATGTACATGCCCTTGCCCGGAATCGAACCTGGGACTTTTCAGTCCGCAGACCGACGCTCTACCACTGAGCCAAACCGGCTTCGGCCAAAGTTTAATTTTGGAAAGCCAAAAGGCAATGGATGTTTTCTTCGTATTCTCTTCTCTGGTAGCCTTTCTTGAATTCTGAGAGAATATGTTAGGTATTTGTCTCAAAGAGTTTACAGCATTGAAGGAGATAACAGTGCTTTGACAATACCCACTGAGAAATGATGGCAGTCTTAGCCCATGTTGCTGTTTTTATATTGTCCTCTGGTAAAACCATAACCAGCTGCCTGCCTCCCTTCTAATACATTTCTGTTGTTTCTTTTTCTAATGCGTTCTTCTTTTTTTTAGATATGTTTTTGATTTTTAGAGAGGGAGAGAAAGAAATATCAATAATTAGAATCATCTATCGACTGCCTCCTGCATGCCCTCTACTGGGAATTGAGCCCCCAACCTGGGCATGTGCCCTGACCAGGAGTTGAACCAGTGATCTGTTGCGTTCATGCATGGATTTATGCTCAACTACTGAGCCACAGTGGTCAGCCTTTTTTTTTTTTAAGCAGAGGAAGTGAGAGGGATAGAGATAGAAATATCAATGAGAAAAATCATTGATTGGCTGTCTCTTGCACAACCCCTACTGGAGATCAAACCTGCAGCCCAGGCATGTGCCCTGACTGGGAATGTACCCACTGACCTCCTGGTTCATGAGTTGATGTTCAACTAGAGCCACACCAGCTGGGCTGATGCATTCTTAATTACAGTGTGAGAGCTCCATTTTCCTGCTCGCCCAGTCTTCTTTTTCACTAAATTAATTGCCTTAATTAAAATGTGAAATGTGTTTTGCAACAATACCCACCCTGAAAAAGCCAGGGTACTCATTTCTGAACTTTTTTTTTTTTTAATATATTTTATTGATTTTACATAGAGAGGAATTGAGAGGGACAGAGTTAGAAACATCGATGAGAGAGAATCATCGATCAGCTGCCTCTTGCACACCCCCCACTGGGGATGTGCCCGCAACCAAGGTACATGCCCTTGACCGGAATCGAATCCGGGACCTTTCAGTCCGCAGGTCGACACTCTATCCACTGAGCCAAACCAGTCCTGGCTCATTTCTTAAAATTTCATATACATGTCCAGTTCATATAAGGAATCTCTATGCAAGTTTTCCTCTTTTTCTATAGGGGCAAATAGAATTTTAATTTATCCAAATGAATAGCTTTGATTTATAGTTTGTGATTTTCATTTAAGTTAACCCAACAACATGCTAAAGAAACATCAGTTCTCTAGTCGGTTTGACTCGGTGGATAGAGCACCCTCCTGCGGACTGCGGGTCCCAGGTTCAATTACAGTCCAGGGCACAGGCCCAGGTTGCAGGCTTGATCCCCAGTGTGGGGCGTGCAGGAGGCAGCCAATCAGTGATTCTCTCATCATTGATGTTTCTATCTCTCTATCCCTCTCCCTTCCTCTTTGAAATCAATAAAAATATTTAGAAAAAGAAGAAGAAATATATAGGTCAGCCCTGGGCAGTGTAACTCAATGATTAGCATTTTGGCCCATGCTCTGAAGGGTCTCAGGTTTGATTCCCAGTGAAGGGCATATACCTGGGTTTCTGGTTTGTTCCCCATCCCTGGTTGGGGCCCATGGGAGAGGCACCAATCGCTTTGTCTCTTTTATTTTATTTTTTTATTTTTTATTGATTTCAGAGAGGAAAGAAGAGAGAGAGAGAAACATTAACAATGAGAGAGAATCATTGATCGACTGCCTCCTGCATGCTCCCACTGGGAATTATGCCCACAGGCCGGGCATGTGCCCTCCTTGCTCATAGGTCAATGCTCAACCACTGAGCCACACTGGCCAGGCTCTGTGTGTCTCACATTGATGTTTCTTTCTCTCGCCCTCTTCCTCCCTTCTACTCTCTCTAAAAAAATCAGTGGAAAAAATATCCTTGAGTGAGAATTAATAAAGAAAAAAAATTGTTCAAAATGAAGTTTCTTTTAACCATTTTATATGTATATTTATTTTGTTGAACCTAGATCTCTCTCACTGATCTGTTTGGTCGGCAACTAAGTAATTGCGGATTTTATAAAAATCAAAGATAATTTTTCATGGAACTAAATAACTTTATTCTGTAATGTATTGCCCATTTTGATCAATGACCTTTTGCCATCTTTCAGGCAGCATCATAATCCCACGTTCAAAAAACTTCTGGTTTTTATTAGCAAAAAACTGAATCAGGTACGATTTGACATCATCATCATTATTGAAATTTTTACCATTCAAGGAGTTTTGTAAAGATCGAAACAAAAAGTAATCAGATGGTGCAAGGTCAGGACTATATGGTGGATGTGGCAAAACATCCCAACCAAGCTCCATTAATTTTTGCCGAGTGACCAAAGATGTGTGTGGCCTTGCATTGTCATGATGGAATACAACACCTTTTCGATTTGTCAATTCGGGCCACTTTTCTTCAACTGCATTGTTTAATTTCGTTAGTTGTTCAATGTAGACATCAGAATTGATCGTTCGGTTGGGTGGTAAGAGTTCAAAGTAGACAATTCCTTTGTAATCCCACCAAACTGATAACAAAACCTTCTTTTGATGAATATCAGCTTTTGATGTTGTTTGAGTTGGTTCACCTGGCCTGCTCCACGATCTTTTCCGCTTGATATTGTTGTAAACAACCCATTTTTCATCGCCAGTTATCAGTCGTTTTAAAAATGGATCATTTTCATTACGTTTCTTTAGCAAATCGCAGCTGTTAATGCGTTGCGTTAACTGTGATTCTTTCAGTTTGTGAGGAACCCATGTATCGAGTTTTCGAACATAGCCAAGTTGTTTTAAGTGATTTTCAATGCATGTATGTGATACATGAAGCTTCTCTGCAATCTCACATGTTGTACTGTGACAGTCCGAATTGATTATTGCTTTGATTAGGGCGTCATCAACTTCAACTGGACGACCAGAGCGTTTTTCATCTTTGAGTGAAAAATCACCAGAACGAAATTTGGCAAACCAATTTTGACACTGCCGTTCTTTTAAGGCTTCGTCACCATAAACAGCACATAACTTTTTATGAGCTTGCGATGCGTTTTTCCCTTTGCGGAAATAAAAAAGCAAAATATGACAAAAATGTTCCTTTTGATTTTCCATTTTTCAACGAACGCCAAACGAAAACTACAAAACAGATCAAAAAACTTTTTTTACTGATTAACAGCTGAATAGCCAACTATCAAATAACAAAATGTGTTTTACATTTGTACTAACTACGTCTGCAAACCTAAAAATTCAACTGAAGCCATATATGTGTGAAACCCGCAATTACTTAGTTGCCGACCCAATAGTAAGTCACCTTTTAATTTGGGGTGAAAAGTGATCACATCAAGAGTTTCCCTTAAATGTATCCAGCCCAGAAAGTCTTGTAGCTATTTCCATATAGGCAGAGCACATAGATAACTTCCTATAATTTTAGTGATTAATGCTGCTGTCTGGCATTTGAAGTTAAATGCTATATTAAGATTTTTCTTTTTTCTTCTAGCTATACAAAAAGCCAGATGTCCCACTATATAAAAAAATTCGTTCAAGTGAGTAATTTGGGAACTATTTTTTCTGTCTCCATATCATCAGTGTTCCTCTTGGTCCGACACTTTAAAAATTATCCTGTATGTACACAAACTGTTCTTTACTTTCTTCTTTCAAGATGTCTACGTTGATGTCAAACCCCTTTCTGGTTATGAGGCTACCACCTGTAACTGTAAGAAGCCAGATGATGACGCCAGGAAGGGCTGTGTGGATGACTGCCTCAATAGGTACTCTACTAAACAGGTTCCTTTAAAAACATAGGCTTTAAGATCTAGACTACTTCAGTTGAAGGGAAAAGTTAAATATGCTCTTGATTTTGTTTCAAGAAATTGCACATCGGTATTTAAAACAATTAATGAAATGTTTTAGTCAGCTGGGGCTATTATACCAAAATACCATAGATTGGGTAGCTTAAACAACAGAACTTTATTCCCCACAGTTTAGGAGGCTGTGAAGTGGATGGTCAAGATGACAGTAGATTGGATGTCTGGTGAGGATCCACTTCCTGGCTTACAGACAGCTGCCTTCTCCTTGCACACTCACATGGCCTTTCCTCACTGCATGCTCGTAGACAGTGCCTTTTTAACAGGGGCACTAATCCCATCATGAAGTCCCCACCCTCATTACCTAATACAAACCTGTTTTCCTCTCAAAGGCACTACTTCTAAATATCATCACATTGGGGCTAGGTCTTCAACTATGAATTTTGGGAGCACATAAACATTTAGCTCAAATGTGGGATGAATACAGTGACAGAAAAAAAATGATATTTAGAGTCTTACATGCCCAGGTTTAAATCTTGTTATTTATTAGACCTGAAGAACATTATTTAACCCCTCTAATAAAACTAATACCTTTTATGATGAGTTTGTGAGAATTGTATGAATCAATGTTTATAAAGTTTTAAGCACAGTTTTGGAAACCTTCCTAGATCTCTATATATGGTAGCCATAATGAGGAAGTAAAGTTTATGGTGGCAGTGAGAAATAAGAAAGGCATGGTATATTTAGTGGGGAGAGGGGGTTAGTAAACCATTAGTATATAGCAGTTACACATGAGAATTGAGTCAATGATAGCAACAAGAAATAGTAACACTATTGTCAGAGATAGGAAGTATGGAATTGGACTTGTTTGGAGATACAATTGAAAATTATTATTTTCATTTTGAACCATTGATTTTAAAATGACAATGATTTCAAAATGGAAATATCTAATAGAGGCAAAAGGATGAAAATATATATTTGATGGTTTTGGTAACATAAGCAAATTTATAGCAAAACAAAGATTGCTATAAATATTGAAATTCGTATCAATATTTCCTGTTCTATATCATTTTCCTGGGCGAAGGCACCTGCCCAGGAACTGGTCTCTAGTCCGTTGTTCTCACGGCTGGGGGAACCAGCATGCCAGTTGTGAAATTGTACCTCACACACATCATTGTAAACTTCAAAATCTTCAAATCTTAACATGCAGCATCTACTTTCAGATTTTGGTAAATTTACAGTTTTGTTTTCAGGCACAATGTATAGAAACATGTTTTACTTTTTATATAATTAAAGGGCTTATCTTGGTTATTTATAAAAACAAAGGGAATATATTTCAGTGCCTTCAACTCTAGAAAACACAGATTTTTACCAACCTCTGAATGATTGTTCTTTGGCAGAAATTTTTTAAATTGAAGTCTCTTTCCTCTCAACACTGTTATATTTATATTTTAGTTATTTTGTCCATCTGAACTATATTGTGTGTGTGTGTGTTATGAAAGATGGAAATAAAGGTGTATAGTATTACGAATGGAGTTATAATTGAAACCACAAAAATAAATGAGCGCTCTAAAGAAAAGATGAACAAAGAATAAGAGAAGTGGGAAATCCATTATCATAAAGTATCAACAAAACCCACAAAAAGAGGGCATTTTCAGGAGAGGTGTTCAACAATATTCTTACAGCAAAGAAGTCAGCAAAAGAAAGAATAAAGGTGATGGATTTGACAGAAAGGCAGTGTTTTTTTCACAAGTTAAGTTGATTGTCTTAAGTTGAATAATTCAATGGATACTTTCTCTGCTTACTGCTCATTTATGTGATTTGACACTGTACTAATTGCCCTTTAGATTAAGGATAATATTTTTTGGAAAAATAAATGAAATGACGCTGAAAATACTTTAAATTCTAAAGTATTAAATACTTTCTGTGCAAGATTTATAAGTTATGATTATAAACATAATATATTTTGATTTACCAATATATTCTTGCTCCTCCCTTGTTCATGCTAAATAGCCATTCTGGGATTCCAAACAATAAAACTATTAAAGATCCTAGAAATTTAAAAAGGAAAGCAGTGTCCACCTACTGTGTTCAAAAATTTTTACTTGTTTATTCACTCCAAATTATAGGTTAGCTAATTATATAGACTGCTAATGTTATTTCTAATGTGGAAAAGTCATTTACAGTAATGAAATGTGGATTCCTATTTTTTTTTTAAATATATTCTATTGATTTTTCACAGAGAGGAAGAGAGAGGGATAGAGAGTTAGAAACATCGATGAGAGAGAGTCATCGATCAGCTGCCTCTTGCACACCCCCCACTGGGGATGTGCCCGAAACCAAGGTACATGCCCTTGACTAGAATCGAACCTGGGACCCTTCAGTCCTCAGGCCGATGCTTTATCCACTGAGCCAAACCAGTTCCGGCAGGATTCCTATTTTTTTAAAAAACAATGTGAGCCCTAACCGGTTTGGCTCAGTGAATAGAGCGTCAGCCTGCAGACTCAAGGGTCCTAGTTCAATTCCATTCAAGGGCATGTACCTTGGTTATAGGGGATGTGCAAGAGGCAGCTGATTGATGTTTCTCTCTCATTTATGTTTCTAACTCTTTCCCTTTCCCTTCCTCTCTGTAAAAAATCAATAAAAATTTATATTTTTTAAAATGTGAATATACTGACGTTTATTAGTACACTTAAAAGTGATAATGATGGTAAATTTTGTGTGTATTTTACTACAGTTTTTTAAAAATCTTTAAATGGCCATGAACTACTTCAAAACAAGTATGCAGTATAATCATGAAACTAGTAATTTCTCTGTGGGTTGCAGTTAGTTCATTTAATCTTAGCACAGAGCTAAATAAGAACTTTTACCCAGGATGCTAAGTGGACAATTAGCTTAATAATTTACAAGGAGCATTTGGTGTTTACAACTTGATTTGAAAATTTAAAGTGTTATTACTTTTTAAGTTCTAGATTATTACTTGTTAACCTTGTTAGCCAATCTAACCTTGTTAAAATAATTTGGTGTATTCATTTTAAGAATTCATATAAAACATAAAATGAGTTTATATAGGCATATAAGTTAATTGAATATAATTACTACTTTTCTTTCTAGAATGATCTTTGCTGAGTGTTCCCCCAACACTTGCCCCTGTGGTGAGCAGTGCTGTAACCAGAGGATACAGAGGCATGAGTGGGTGCAATGTCTAGAACGGTTTCGAGCTGAGGAAAAAGGTTGGGGAATCAGAACCAAAGAACCCCTAAAAGCTGGGCAGTTCATCATTGAATACCTAGGAGAGGTTGTCAGTGAACAGGAATTCAGGTAATTGATGATAGTAAAATGGTAAAGGTATCCGATTAGAATGGAAAATGGAAGATTTGAAATTTACTTTCAATATAATCATTAAGTGGCTTTCAATAATCTTTCTCCTTTTCAGAAACAGGATGATTGAGCAGTATCATAATCACAGTGACCACTATTGTCTGAACCTGGATAGCGGAATGGTGATTGACAGTTACCGCATGGGAAATGAGGCTCGATTCATCAACCACAGCTGTGACCCAAACTGTGAAATGCAGAAATGGTAAGGAAGAGGGGATGGGGAAACCAAGAATCCCACGGAACAGAAGGCATTGAGGATATCCAGAGATTGATCGTTCCACAGTGTCAGTCAGCTTACACAAAGCAGCTTAGGCATTTCCCAGATCCTTTAGGCAAAGACTACGCCTCTGCTATTCCTTCACTTCACCCTAACTACTCAGTCGGCCTATGCTCCGAGGAGCCTTGGGTTTGATTCCCAGTGAAGGCCATGTATGAGTTGCAGATTCAATACCTGGCCCCAGTTGGTAGAAAATGTCATAAATATAAGACATCTAGTATTTATTTACTGCTTGCTTCGTCCTACGTACTGTTACATGGTTTGTCTCATAACAGCTCATTCAGCACTGAATTTGTCACCATGAGATATAAAAACAAGTGAATCTCTCTACCTTTAACTTTTGTCCTTTCTTATAGGTCTGTTAATGGAGTATACCGGATTGGACTGTATGCTCTTAAAGATATGCCAGCTGGTACAGAACTCACTTATGATTACAACTTTCATTCCTTTAATGTTGAAAAACAGGTAAGAATTGCCCAGCCAGTGTAGTTCAGTGGTTGAGCATCGAACTATGAACCAAGAGGCACCGTTTGATTCCCAGTCAGAGCACATGCCGAGGTTGTGGGCTCAGCCCCTGGTGGGGGGTGGCCAGGAGGCAACTGATCAAGTGATTCTCTCTCATCATTGATGTTTCTATCCCTCTCCCTTCCTCTCTGAAATCAATAAAAATGTTTTCTTTAAAACGGGTAAGAATAGTAAATCCAAGAGGGAGATTGAACTTTGTCACAGTGTTCTGTATAACAGGCCTTCAGTAAACATTACTGAGTTGTAGCCATTGAGAAGTACAGAGGAGAAAGCAGTTTTTCACTCTTAGCTCCACTTATCTAGGATACACAGGTCTATGTTATTCTTTCAGAACTCCTTAGGAAGAGATTGCCCAATCATTTTTGGTCTCCAGTCAGTTCTTAACTATTCTGGTGAAGTTTTTTTCCAATATTTAGTCTTTTCTTTCAAGTATTGTAGAAGTCCACTTCATTCTCTATTAGTTGTTTTCCTCTATGTGAAAATTTCTTCATTCAAACTTATTGTTGGGTATGCTCTGGCATCCTATTTGAACTTCTAGCCTAAAAGCATTATTCTCTTTCCTTTCAAAGCAACTGTGTAAGTGTGGCTTTGAGAAATGTCGAGGAATCATCGGTGGCAAGAGTCAACGTATGAATGGACTCACCAGCAGCAAAAGCAGCCACCACTCTATAGCCACACATAAAAAGTCTGGACGGTCAAAAGAAAAGAGGAAATCTAAGCACAAGCTGAAAAAAAGGGTGAATAATGATCTCATGGCTTTCCTCAGAGGCAATTACTAAAATAAGGGAAATACCAAAGGGTGGCATCTTCAGAGTGGTTTTAATATTCTTTGAGGTGATTTCTGATTGACCTTTTTGCCCCTCTGCATTCTGATCCATCTCTCTTTCAGAGAGGCCACCTCTCTGAGGAACCCAGTGAAAACATGAACACTCCAACAAGACTGGCCCCCCAATTACAGATGAAGCCCATGTCCAATCGAGAGAGGTAAAAGTAGATTTTTTTCCCCCAAGCTCTCTAAATTATGTGATTTGCTTGTTCGATTATTGAGCAGTTGTATATTTGAATAAGTATTCAAGCGGTCTGTGAACTTGGGGGTGGGGGGGAATTGTGTCTTTATTTTCCCTACTTTCTAACTGAAATTTAGCATGACCTTTAAATATGACTTTAGGCAACAACAACAAAAAAGTGTGTGTGTGCGTGTGTGTGTGTGCGCGCGCGCAGTATTTGCAGTTTCCATGAGTTTTGCCACCAATATTCATTTTCATATGTTATAGGTGTTACAGATGTCTCAAAATATCACTCAGGTTTATCTCTGCCTTAAAATTACTGTAGTAGTTAAACCTACAACTAGATCTTGTCATGTGTTAAAAATTAATGTTTAAAATATTCTGAAAACTGTATTGCAGTATATTTAGTTTTCTTTTAATTCTGTGTATTAAAATTATTTAAGTTTTTAAATTAATTTTTAAAATGCTTTTAAAACATTGTTCAGAGCAGGGTTATATGGGCTTCCCCAGTCTGCCAGAGGAATCCATACTTAGTTGATATATTAACAGCAGTCAAAAGGATCTTTAGTGGTCCTTTTTACTCTTCCTTGTATTCAAGCATTTGTTCATGTCAGAGGTGAACAATGTGAATATTTTGTATTTTTCAAGATATTCTATATTTCCCATCACTACACACTTTAATATCTTAGAAAGTTCATCCTTAAAATTTTACTATAATTTAGCCTCTTCTATTATATTTCACTTTGTCATAAAAATTTTAAACTTTATTGAAACAGATACCTAATTCAGTGGTTCTCTACTTGAGCTGCATGTTAGCCTAAGGGCTTTAAAAACTTTTGATGGGCCGAAACCGGTTTGGCTCAGTGGATAGAGCGTCGGTCTGTGGACTGAAGGGTCCCAGGTTCAATTCCAGTCAAGGGCATGTACATTGGTTGCGGGCACATCCCCGGTTGGGGGTGTGCAGGAGGCGGCTGGTCGATGTTTCTCTCTCATCGATGTTTCTAACTCTCTATCCCTCTCCCTTCCTCTTGTAAAATATCAATAAAATATAATAAATTAATTAATTAATTAATTAATTAATTAAAACTTTTGATGGCCCTAGTCAGTGTAACTCAGTTGGTAGGAGCATCATCTACTACACTGGAAGGTCAAGGGCACATACCTGGGTTGCAGGTTCTATCCCTGTTTGGGGGGCTCTTTCTGGAGGCAGCTAATTATTGTGTGTGTCTCTGTCCCCCTCTCTCTTTCCCTTCCTCCCTCCTTTTCTAAAATCAATTAAAAAAAAAAAAAAACGCTTTTGATGCCCAGGCCACACCCAGGATCACTTAAACCAGAATTTTCAGAGATGAAATCCAGACATCAGTAATTTTTAAAGCTTCCCGAGTGATTTCAATGTGCAGCCAAAGTCAGGAACTATAAAATTGGCCTAATCTCCATTACACAGACCCATATTTGAGATTTATTCAAGGTAACATTGTATTATATGTATACTATGGTAAAAATCAAATAATGGAATCATCAAAATCATATGTAGGGTCAATCAAGATACATGTAACTCATTTACATTTAGATCCATGTGGAGGTATTGCTTCTAGCATCGTTTGCCCAGTGCATATCCATCCTAAATATCTTTGCCTATATCTGCCAGTTCTCCTTCTCAGAGGTAATCCTAAGCCTGTACTTTATCTGGATAACTTTCTTTAGAATTTGTACAAATACTCCATAAAGTTCTACCTTCGAATCAGGTTGTTTCCATTGCCAAAATTTTTGTAGCCTATAAGTCCTCAGGATTATCAATAAATAACATAGGAAATGTTATGTGAAAAAAATTTAGGATGCAAAACTGAATAATGTTTTCCCATATATAATTCTCTTTTTAAAGGCTGAATTCACTGATAAGTATTCATTTATAACATCTTTCTTTTTTTAAAAAAATATTTTTAAATTTTGTCTTGCTTTTTTTTGTTTGTTTTAAATATATTTTATTGATTTTTTACAGAGAGAAAGGGAGAGGGATAGAAAGCTAGAAACATCGATAAGAGAGAAACATTAATCAGCTGCCTCCTGCACACACCCCCACTGGGGATGTGCCTGCAACCAAGGTACATGCCCTTGACTGGAATTGAACCTGGCACCCTTCAGTCCGCAGACCAACGCTCTATCCACTGAGCCACACTGGTTTCAGCCATTTATAACATCTTAATAGTGGCTTACATAGAACAGACATGTAATAAATGCTTATTGAATTAATGAATAAAAGAACTACTTTTTTCTTTCCTTGCAGGAACTTTGTATTAAAGCATCATGTGTTCTTGGTCCGAAACTGGGAGAAGATTCGGCAGAAACAGGAGGAAGTAAAGCACACCAGTGATAATATTCACTCAGCATCATTATATTCCCGCTGGAATGGCATCTGCCGAGATGATGGGAACATCAAGTCTGGTAAGGACTGAAAAAGTTTCTGCTAATTCCAAAAGGTTATCTCAAAGTGATTATACTTGTTACTTTCAAACAGTCTGTTCAGACATTCCTTTTAGTCTGTTCCAAAAAAGTTAAGATCCAAGCATATTAATACCAATCAACAATAGCCTGTCCCTCCCAGCTCTCCACCTTCCTGTTTCTACTGTGGGAAATAGGAAGAAGCCCCCTTCCGCCACCTCCCCAACATCACCTACAGCCTGACAGTCACTACACATGAGATAGAGGTGGTGGGTCCTTTGTCTTCTTTCCTACCTGGAAAATACCTTGCAGACAGGGTAAATAGTGAGGACAGAAGTAGAGGAAAATGACACCAGTGTTAATTTGAAGACTTTTTGCTTTCTCCCCCTCCCCTCATTTAGATAGTATATACACAAACCAAATTAGCATGTCTAAATACTCTTTCTAACTGAAAATAGTGTTCAAAAGTTCATGCTCTTATTATTTTATTTCCCTCAGAAAGTACAGGCATTCTGCATTGTACATGAGGGATATTGATGAGCTAGGGACTAGATAGAAATTTGCCCCAAATTTTCTATCCTCTCAGTGATTTGATGGGCATAAATTCTCTAAGTTTATTATTCAATTAGTTCAAATCTTCTGGTAATAATAATAATTTCCTGAGTCTTTCATAGGTCAGGCACTGAGCTAGACACATTAAAAAGGTGTTTATTTCATCTGCATAATTACCTCATGAGGAAAATACTCCCGCTATTCCCATTTTACAGTTAAAAAACTGAGATACAGAGCGTTTAAGTAACTTACCAAGATCATAATCTAATTAGTAGGGAAGCCACAGTAACAACACAGACTCATTTTGAAGCTCCAACTTTCAACTACTCCACTATGTAGCATTTGGCTACTAAAATAAGCTCCCTCTAACTTGTAGCATCTGTCTCTCTGGTAAACTTCATTGTTTTCTGATTTTCCTGTAAGGAGGAAAGAAAGAACTCTTATGACTTCCATTAATCACTTCAACAAAAATTGAGCAAGAGCAGAAAGTCACTGGGGAAGAGAAAGCCACTTACAGCTCCTCTTTTCCTGAAGCTAATGTTCACTTTCTTCTTCCAGACGTCTTCATGACCCAGTTCTCCGCCCTGCAGACAGCCCGATCTGTTCGAACAAGGCGGCTGGCAGCGGCAGAGGAAAACATTGAAGTGGCTCGAGCAGCCCGCCTCGCCCAGATCTTCAAAGAGATCTGTGATGGTATCATCTCTTATAAAGGTGACCATAACCACCCCACACCCCTTCTTCTTAGCTTTTATTTTTTTTTTTTAATATATTTTATTGATTTTGTACAGAGAGGAAGGGAGAGAGATAGAGAGTTAGAAACATCGATGAGAGAGAGTCATCGATCATTTGCCTCTTGCACACCCCCTACTGGGGATATGCCCGCAACCAAGGTACATGCCCTTGACCGGAATCGAACCCGGGTCCCTTCAGTCCCCAAGCCGACACTCTATCCATTGAGCTAAACCGGTCCCGGCTTCTTAGCTTTTTTTAAGTCATACCACTGATCCTCACTTGAAACAACCAAGACCAAGAATAAGTGACAATTTAGGATTAGGAAATTAGGAGGTATATTTAGTTCTTCCTTTTGTCAGAGTATAGAATTACAGGACTGATTATAGTCTTTGGGAATTGTTTTTAAATTCCCTAGATCTTATAAGTCAATTTTTTTGTATTTATTAGATTTACCATAAGTACTATATTTAGAAATCACTTTTTTTTTTTAAGCTATGGCTTAGAAGCAGGTCTCTATCTTGGATAAAATTTTCCTGAATGAACAGTGAAATCTGTAATAATAAAAGCATAATATGCTAATTAGACCAGGCAACCAAATGACCTTCTGGATGAAGCTGTGGCGGGGCTGAGGCAGAGGTGGTTGGGGGGTGATCAGGCAGAGTAGTTAGGAGTGATCAGGCAGGCAGGCAGAGTGGTTAGGGGCGATCAGGCAGGCAGGTAGGCGAGCGGTTAGGAGCCAGCAGTCTGGATTGTGAGAGGGATGTCCAACTTCCAGTTTAGGCCCGATCCCACAGAGATCCTTTCGGGATTGGGCCTAAACCAAAAGTTGGACATCCCCCAAGGGATCCCAGATTTCGAGAGGGTGCAGGCCGCTCCCCACCCCCACCCCTGTGCATGAATTTTGCGCACTTGGCCTCTAGTATTAATATTTTAAAAAAATAGTATGAATATATGGCATCAGTGGTTCTTAACCTTTTTTGTTTTGACAGATATTTTTGAGAATCTCAGAAAAGCTATGCACTCTTTCTCTAGAAAAAAATGCATGTACATAATTTTGTATATTTTTTGGAGGGATTTCAGGCCCTACATTAAAAAAAAAACAAAAACCTAAAGTTGCACAAAAAAAAATTACGGTACTTCAAGATTTTTCAGCCCAGCCAGCGTGGCTCAGTGGTTGAGTGTCAATCTATGAACCAGAAGGTCATGGTTCATATCCTGGTGATGGCACATGCCCAGGTTGCGGGCTCAATCTCCAATGTGGGGCATTCAGGAGGCAGCCAATCAATGATTCTTCCTCATAATTGATATTTCTATCTCTCTCCATTCCTCTCTGAAATCAACAAAAATATATTTTTAAGTTTTCATGCAAATATTTTTACCCTACCACATTTCTCTTTGAAGACACATCTTTTGTTAATCAGCTTAACAATAACCCACAACCTTCAGACCAACTTGAAGACACATCTTTTGGATATGTGTTGGGGCTAAGGTTGAGAAAGAAGAGGTTTTAATTTTGGGTAGGTAGTTTGGTAATGTACATGACTTTTTATGACCAGAAAATTTGGAGATTTTAAAATAAAATATTTTAACAAATAATTGCAGCTTTTACTGTCAATTTTGACTGGTCTTCTTTCCCCTAAATTCTGCTCCTGGTCTGTTTTGCTCAGTGGAAAGAGCATTGGCCTAGAGGTTTGATTCCGGTCAAGGGCACATACTTTGGTTGCAGGCTCGATTCCTGGCCCTAGCAACCAATCAGTGTGTGTCTCTCACATCGATGTTTCTCTCTTTGTGTCTCTTCCCCCTTCCTTCCACTCTTTCTAAAAATCAATCGAAAAATATTCTCAATTGAGGATAAACAAATTCTGGATAATTTTTTTTCTCTTTTCTTTCTGTACTTTTCATATTTGAGTATCTTTTTACAGTTTTGTTAACCTAAGATCATAGAGAAGGAAGGAGGACCAATCTGTCCAAAAATGTAAAATTTTGTGGCACCTATACCCTTTCCATTCCCAAAAGGTCACAGTCTGCATTTTCAACCAGCCCCCTGTGGTCTAATGTGAAACTGTAGTACATCTCCCATCCAAGTACTAACCAAGCCCGACCCTGCTTAGCTTCTGAGATCAGACGAGATCGGGAGTGTTCAGGGTGGTATGGCCATAGACTGAAACTGTAGTACATCTAATGTCCACTACATTCTGAGTATGAAACAATAGGCTTTTTTCTATACTTTATATAGTAAGTTGCTAGAAAGGAAATAAGGTAGCACTGAGAAGAAGCCCCACCACATGACTTCCGTTTTTATAATACAAAGTAACTATTATGAACAAAAGGATTCCAGAAAATATTTACAGTACTAAATTATTCATTACCTAGAATTTAATTGAATTCAAACCAATGGAGTAATATTAGTGAGAGCTAGAAGACATTTTTGAATGAGATGATCTTTGCTGTCATAATTTATTGAGCTGAAATTTGCACCAAGCAGCCTACCTACATAAGTTCCCATTTCTCATTCTTATTGAAAATTTTTCTCATTACCCATCTAACATAGTGTTATATTTCAAGCATATATGCTATATCTTTTATATTCCAAGTAATTCTGAAAGTACCTTCTGATCCCTGCCTTTACACCCATTTCTAAAAAATATTTGCATTTGTCATAGCACAATATTTTTTTTTCTAACTGTTAATTTTGAGGATTCTTTTTCATTTATGAGTTAATACTTGTTTCTCTTGTATCATTTAGCCCTTCTGCTAAACCTTGTATTCTCTTGCAGATTCTTCCCAACATGCATTGGCAGCACCACTTTTGAACCTCCCCCCAAAGAAGAAGTAAGTCACATATGGGGGAATCATCTGAATTTCTTTTTTAAACTACCAACTGTACCAGACTGACACCTGGCTTTCTGTTCCAGGAATGCTGAGTACTATGAGAAGATCTCTGATCCCCTAGATCTTTCTACCATAGAGAAGCAGATCCTCATTGGTTATTATAAAACAGTGGAGGCTTTTGATGCTGACATGCTCAAGGTCTTTCGGAATGCTGAGGTATTTCTCACTGACTTGAAACACAGATTTAAGAAATTTGTTCCAAAGAACTATTCGGGGAATTTTAAGATTTTTACCGTCTTTTAGAATTTTCATATTTCTTGTTAAGAAAGGCAGTCATTTTTTGAGTGCCCTTAGAGTAAAGATTACATTGTACTAAATATTATTAAATCTTGTATTATAAAGACATTGATATGACTAAAATAGAAGTTAAGTCATACTTGCAAAAAGCAGTTTTTATAAAAACCTAATTTAAGTATTAAACCTTTATATTTACATAATATAAACATTTTACTACATTTAAATCATATCCACAGTTTCTTTCCTCAAAACAATAAGTATATGTGAAATACACAGAATATTATAGGTAAAAATAGTTGTAAATGTATCTTAAGAATGGAATTGAGAGGTACTCTGAATACATTTTAGAATAGGTGAAGTTTTGGGGCTGGGTGTGAAGGTAAAGGAAATGGAGGACATCTGTAATACTGTCAACAATTAAAAAAAGAAAAAAAGACTAGGTGAAGCTTATTAGAGAAAATGTGATTTTGAACTGATATAAAGGAGAGGATGGAATACTGTATGATACAGAGAAGAGGAAGTTATTCTGTGACTTTGAAATACCTTGGAGAGGTATTTGAAGGATAAAAGGCTACTAGAAGATGTACTGCTATTTGTAATACTTTAAACAATAAAATAAAAATTTTTTAAATAAATAAAACATTTACACTTAATGAAATTTTTAGAAAAAGGCTACTAGATGAAGGAAGAATTGAGGTTGAAGACAAGAAATGAGAGAAAAACAGACATGTGGGAGAAGAATTAGGGCAATCCTGAATTATAACATGTTTTTTACTGAAACCCAGCTTTCATATGTATATTTAAAGCTTGTAGCTATGTCCCTAATATCTGTAAGGACAACAAGACAAAGCTAAATGGAGAGCTTCTCCACAACATTATTCTTGTGACATTAATTCACTTTTCATGGTCACTGTATAGTTGATCACGTGGACAGTAAGACCTGTGAAAGGAGTTGAATATTCGACAGCAATAGAAAAAATGGAAAAATTACCGTGCAGATTCTAATGTTAATTCATTCTAGTTCAGTTTGTTTTCAAATGCCTGGCACTATATTCGATAGTATTGAAAGTCTTAACCAAAATGGGAGTATAAAGAAAAATCCTGCTACCTCTTCAAGTATAGTTTTAAGCCATATTGAGAAGATGAAACATGATTTCTTTCTTCTGCTTTCTTCAGAAGTACTATGGGCGTAAATCCCCAATTGGAAGAGATGTTTGCCGCCTACGAAAGGCCTATTATAACGCTCGGCATGAGGCATCAGCCCAAATTGATGAGATTGTGGGAGAAACAGCAAGTGAGGCAGACAGCAGTGAGACCTCAGTCTCTGAAAAGGAGAATGGGCATGAGAAGGATGATGATGTTATCCGCTGTATCTGTGGCCTCTACAAGGACGAAGGCCTCATGATCCAGTGTGACAAGTGCATGGTGAGGGTCAGGAGGTGAAGCAGAAACCTAGTCCCGATGAACAGAGTGACCGTACTCAAAGCAGCAGCTCATGCCTCTTTTGGCTTGGCTTGACAGCTTTTTATGAACTTTAACTTTGTCTTGGTTTCTGTTATCCCCCACTGTTCACCATATTGTCTTTCTCCTTTTTTATGTCTTTCTCTTTCATTTTATTTTTCCCTTTATTTTTCCCTTCCCTTTTCCCTTTTTTCATTTTATTTTTCCCTCCTTTTCCATTTTTTCTGCCCATTTCCTACTGTACATGTCTTACATAATATGGATCAAGAAGAATTATGTATGGTATTTAGGATAGTGTTTTACCTTGCAAAACAGTAGAGGTACTACACTCTGTATAACATTAACACAGATGGAATGTAATTTATAGAGCTCCTGATGAAAAGTGAAGGCCTGGATTTGAACCTTGGTATCTATTTACTGAACTTACATGGAAAATGGAGCTATGAGTAACACATAGGATTGTTGGGAAAATTAGATAAAGATAAGTAAAAATATTTTGTAACTGTAAAGCCTTTCCAATAATAGTATCATTGATATATGTTATTTAGTAAGTAATAGTTTGGTACTGTGTTCATTCTCCCATTCTGTATCCATCTTCCCATTTTGTTTGCCCAGATCTATCTATTGTGAACTAAACTGTATACTTGTGTTCAGACAAGTCCTTACTCTTTTTCCCCTATTTTATCATTTATCTCTAATGTTTTACATACCCACTTACCCCTTAGTTCATTCCTGTTTTACTTTTCCCTCTCCTATTGGTTAAATATTTTTATTCTTAGCACCCAGGACTTCTCTCAGTAAGTCTAAGACACTCCTGTCCCCCCACGCATTTTTTTTCCCTACAGGTGTGGCAGCACTGTGATTGCATGGGATTGAACTCCGATGTGGAGCACTACCTTTGTGAGCAGTGTGACCCAAGGCCTGTGGACAGAGTAAGCTGCCCTCTGATAATCCTCTGATCTATGGGATATGATATTTTATCAGCCCTGCTCCTGGCATACTGAATTTTCTTTGATAAATCACTCAGCCTCTCTGGGCCTCAGTTTCTTATACTTTACATTGAGAGTAATAATTCTGCCCTTCCTTTCTTAGGAGTGGGATCAAAGGGAAAATAAAACACATAGAAATATATGGAAGGAATGATACTCTGAAACTATGGTGGGTTTTGTGTGTGTGCATTTGTTTCTTTTTATTGATTTTTAGAGAGAGATAAAAAACATCAATGAGAAAGAAACATCGATAGGCTGCCTTTTGCACGCCCCCTAAGGGGTTTGAGCCCACAACTGGGGCATGTGCCCTGATCCAGAATCGAACCTGGGATCTCTTAGTGCAGGAGTCCTCAAACTTTTTAAAGTGGGGGCCAGATCACGGTCCCTCAGAGAGCTGGAGGGCCGGACTATATGAACTACTAATTCCTACTGTAACACCTCGGCTGCACTCACTGCCCAAAAAACCTGGCGGGCCGGATCAGACTCCTCTGCGGGCCGCATGTGGCCCGCGGGCCGTAGTTTGAAGACGCCTGTTTAGTGCATGGGTTGATGCTCAACCACTGAGTCACACCAGCCAGGCAAAACTATGGTTTTTATCAACACTCAGGTATTTAAAAGTATTGTAGTTTATAAAGCCCAGAACTTGAGTACTCTAAATACTACTTATATTAAGCAGTGTTTAAATGAAAAAAGCACTGGACTCAGAGTCAGCAAAGGTTAACCTTAGCCACACACTCCAGGAGAGACTATAGATTAGATAATTTGCCCAAGTTATTATGTGGGCTTTTGATCTTAGCTCTGCCATATTTATGTCTGTCATTTTTTTTTTTAATTTTATTTTTTTTAACAGTGGTGCTGGTGTTATTTTGAGTCGACAGTTCTTTGTTGTGAGGGATGCATTGCAAAATGTTTGGCTTCCATGGCCCTTGGGCACTAAATACTGTAGCAAACTCCACCAGTTGTGACCAAGTTTCCCTTCACACATTTTCAAATGCTCTCTAGGTGGCACAGAGCAACCACACAATTAGTGCTTCAGAACATATGGTTTGGGGTACTTAGCCTGTCCGTTTTATCTTCTACCTTCATTTTCCCAGTTGCTTTGATCTTTTATTATATATCTGTGATGTACTGAAATGACAAAACAGTAAGTTTTACTTGGTTGGGAATTCTTGGTTTTAGTATCTTCCTCTTGAATAGAGATGAGCAGGCTGGATGTAGTAGTCCCAGCCCTTATCCATTGGCTTTTTGCTCTTACCAGGAGGTACCCATGATCCCTCGGCCCCACTATGCCCAACCTGGATGTGTCTACTTCATCTGTTTGCTCCGAGATGACTTGCTTCTTCGTCAAGGTGCGTATACAGGAGCTGGCCCTACTTGTCAAAACAGACCTTTGTGATTACTAGGAGGTGTCAGCTGCTGCATAGTAGTCATTGTCTCCATATGACCATTAGTAGCAATAGAATAAAGGTTTTTATATCTTTCAGTCCTTAGGCTTACATGCACTTTCCCTCCACCAAATAAAACTAATGTGGCGAGAACATGGTCTTATAAAGCTAATTATAAGCCTAGGAAAGACATGTAGGATTCTAAAAGATGGAAGACCTCCCTCAGGTCCCTCTTATAGTCTAGAGTTGATTATCACCATTAGATTGCTGGTTGAATTTATTATTTTAGATTTTAACTTCTTTCTATGTAGATCTGGGGCCAGACCAGTGGATGCTTAACAGAATTGATGCAGGAATGATTTTAACCTTCTCCTGTGTTCTCTGTGTTCCTAGGTGACTGTGTATATCTGATGAGGGACAGTCGGCGCACGCCTGATGGCCACCCAGTCCGTCAGTCCTATCGACTGTTATCTCACATTAACAGAGATAAACTTGACATCTTCCGAATTGAGAAGCTTTGGAAGAATGAAAAGTATGTGTGGAGGACGAACGGTATCTCTTTTCTCCCAGCTCTGCCCTGCCTGCACAGAGCTGAATAAGCACTACGATCTTGCTAACCAGCTAAACCTCTCCCTTCTCTTCATCTTTTTTTAGAGAGGAACGGTTTGCCTTTGGCCACCATTACTTCCGTCCCCATGAAACTCACCATTCTCCATCCCGTCGGTTCTATCACAATGAGTTGTTCCGGGTGCCGCTCTATGAGATCATTCCCTTGGAGGCTGTAGTGGGGACCTGCTGTGTGCTGGACCTTTATACATATTGTAAAGGTAAGTGATCTGGGCAACTTAAGAAATGACCTCCTGTCCCCTAGTCATTGAGCTAAAATTGCCTGCTTCATTTTTAATGTCTGTTTCATAAAAGATTGTCCAAGGCTAGTCAGAGAGCTATACTGTATCATTTTCTCTCTTTTACCTAGTGCTTGGTACTGAATAATGTTAATTCTCTCTTTTTTATATTTTTTATCTGTAATACTGTATAGTTAACACTCTGTTAGTATTTGTGGGATAAAGTGTTCATTTCCAAAAGTGCTTTCCTTATTTATCTGCCTTTCTTTTCCCATGACTTCCCCTTATTCTGCTCTGTTTTTCTTCTAAATCTTTCTTCAAAAATCCCTGCAGCACTTTATCTACATTTCTGGTTTCTTTCCATCCTATATTATCCCCAACTTGCTATACCCTTTTTCCTTTGTTGTTGCTAGTGTCTGAGAATTCTCCTTTCTCCTGCAGTCACCAAGTGCTTAGTAATAGCTGCAGTGTTTCCCTCTTAAAGAATCGAACTGCTCTCCTGGTGGTGTGGGGTAGTCTCTGGGCAGCTCGGAGAAAGAAGGGAAAACAGGCTTATTTAACAGTGTTTGGACCCGTAGGAAGACCCAAAGGAGTGAAGGAGCAAGATGTGTACATCTGTGACTATCGGCTTGACAAGTCAGCACACCTGTTTTACAAGATCCACCGGAACCGCTATCCTGTCTGCACCAAATCCTATGCCTTTGATCACTTCCCCAAGAAGCTCACTCCCAAAAGAGATTTCTCTGTAAGTCTCCTTTCTCTCCTAATTGTACATGTCAGGACAACGTAGTTCATACATGGAATTCACAGAGTAAGAATTCTCAAGTGGCATCCTGTTTCCATCCCAAATTCAGGAAGTCTTTATTTCTGTTTGGGATGTGTGAGCAGCATAAATGCATTTATTCTACACTTCCTGGCATGAGCTGTGTCTCAGGAAATTTTTTATTTCCTGGCTAAACTTTAGTTGTTTTTTTCCTCTTGTTTTCTCTCTCACTTTTTTAATCTTTGCCCTTGAGCCACATATTGTAGTTTTTTGTTTTGTTTTTCACACCCATAATTTTAAGAAGCAGGTAGAATCAAGAACCTTGAGAAACCTTTTGTGAAAATTATTCAGTGTTTTTTTCTTTTTGTCCCTGTATTTAAAATGTAAGGCATCATTATATAAAAATTTAAAGTACAAAGCATTCAGAAAAAAAAGTATAAGCCCTGGCAAGTAGCTCAGTTGGTTACAGGGTCATCCCAATACCCTAAGTTTCCAGTTCAATATCCGGTCAGGGCACATACAAGAAACAACCAATGAGCCCTAACAGGTTTGGCTCAGTGGATAGAGCGTCAGCCTGTGGACTCAAGGGTTCCAGGTTCGATTCCCTGGTCAAGGGCATGTACCTTGATTATGGGCACATCCCCAGTGGGGGGTGTGCAGGAGGCAGCTGATTGATGTTTCTCTTTCATCTGTGCTTCTAACTCTCTTCCTCTCCCTTTCTCTCTGTAAAAAAATCAATAAAATATATATTTAAAAAAAAAAACAACAACCAATGATGCAGGCTCCTTCCCAGCCTGGGCCTTGGTCAGGTCTCATGCAGGAGGCAACCAATCAATGTGTTGTGTCTTTCCCTCTCTCTTCCACTCTCCATAAAAATCAATGGAAAAATATCCTGGGGTGAGGATTAACAAAACAAAAAAAAAGAAAAAGCAGCAACTGATGAATGCATAGATAAGTGGAACAACAAATTTCCCTCTCTTTCATTTCTTCTCTCTCTCCTCTCCCTACCTTTCTGTCTCTAAAATCAATCAATAAATTTAAAAAATATATACAGCCATGCACTATATAACAATGGTGGTCCCATAAGATTATAATGGAGCAAAAATTTTCTCTCACTAATGACACTGGAGCATCATAGCTCAGTGCATTGCTCAGATGTTTGTGGTGATGCTGGTGTAAACAAACCTACTATGCTGTCATTCATATAAAAGCACATACAATTGTATACAGTACATAACACTACTTGATAATGATAAATGACTGTTACTAGTTTATGTGTTTACTACACTTTTATAGTTATTTTAAATTGTACTATTTCTGTTTGTTTGTTTGTTTTTTAAATTGCTGTAAACAGTATCCCATGTTACACCAGCAGCAGCTTCACACATCTCATGTTTACATTTTCTTATTGCATCATTTTCTCATGCTTGATTTAAACCTTGTGTTGTTTTATAAGTTTGGTATAGCCTCAGTGTAAAGTGCAGTGTTTATAAAACAATAGTTTACAGTAATGTTCTAGGCCTTTACATTCACTCCTCACCCAGTTACTAACTCACCCAGAGCAACTGCCAGTCCTGCAGCCTCTATTATTGTAAGTACACTATACAGGTGTACCATTTTTTAATATTTTATAAATTGTTGTGAACATACTCCTCGGATTATTTTATGCCATTCATCATTCTGTAAAGATTTTGGTCACTCATTCATCTATTTGCTATAATGAAACCCTGGATTAGCTCTTCTCATCCTGTCTTCTTATAAGTGAGCCTGTCAAAATTCATAGCTATCATCCTGGAATGCTTAGAAATAATCTAACCAGAAAGCAAACCTTTATGCCCGTGTTTTTCCCATTATTACTTTTAGGTTTCTCTAAACAGTATTTATTTTATATTCTTTCTACCCACCACCAAGCCCTGCCTCTCATCTAGATTTCTCTGGTCCTACTTGCTCAGTCAACAGCTCACTCATTAGCTTTGAAACCTCTACGTTAACTACTTAAAAGCTGGGATAGGGCAAAAAGAACTGTGAGCCTTTTGGCCTACAGATTAATAGAAGTATGAACTTCGGACTTTAAAACATAGTCACTCAGCTTATAAAGGCTTCAGCCCTATTTTTTTCTTTCTTTACCTCCCCACCTCTCTATCCTGAGTTATCCCCTGATCATATGATCCAGCTTTGTCAGCTTCTACTGTACACTCACTGCTTCCTTTTCTTCTCTGCAGCCTCATTATGTCCCAGACAACTACAAGAGGAACGGAGGGCGGTGAGTCCCATGGGGATGTGAAAAGCCTGAGGGATTTACCAACAACCCCTAAGACTGGGGATTCTCTGACAGAGTAGCCCAATGTTGTGCCAACAGTAAGGGCGGGCAGAGAGGGAGATTTTGCAAGGATTACAGATAGAGAAGAGAATTTGGAACAGAACTCCATACAGATTAAGGAAACTCTTTTTTAGATTTCTGCACACTTTGCCCATTTCTCCAAAGTTGACCAACTGTTAAGACTTTTGTCAAGGCACAGTTTTAGCTGAGCAGTTTGAGTTTGTAATTTTTATTTATGTTTGCTTTGTATATAATGGGTATTCTTGGAAAAAGAGCACAAAAGTCTTATCTTCTTTTTCTGTTGAATGGTGGCATAACAACTGCTTTACCTACTTCAGTAGCTTACCATAAGGGAAAAAATATTTAATAATAGATATGAAAAGAGATTTAGAAAAAGTAAAAACTTCATTTAAATACTTACTGTAGTTGGACTACAAAGTTGTATCATACTTCTTCTCTGTAGTAATGAAGCATTCAGAACTAGCTAAGCAATTTAACCAACTCTGGTATATTTTATGAATTTGTTGGATTTCTGAAAAGAAAAATTGAATTTTACAAATCAAAATTAAGTTTCAGAGGAAAGTAATGGTTTGTTCAAATAATAATAAAGTGAAGACCAGAGCCAAGTTCCTTGCCCATTGAGCCAAGGCTGTTAACAGCTAGGCTTCAGAGTCTCAAGCCACCCTGAGGTCTCTTCCTTTCATGCCCCATCCAACCCCAAGTGCCCTTCTCAGCCTTACGCTAAGTTCACATATCCTTCTGGCAGATCATCCTGGAAGTCTGAGCGCTCAAAGGCACCCCTAAAAGACTTGGGCCAGGAGGACGATGCTCTGCCCTTGATTGAAGAGGTTCTGGCCAGTCAGGAGCAAGCAGCCAACGAGATGGCCAGCCTGGAGGAGCCAGATCAGGAAGGGGCCACTGCCGAAGTCAGTGAGGGCGGGAAAAAAACAGAAGAGAGCAGTCAAGAAGCTCAACCAGCCTGTACCCCCGAGGAACGACGGCATAACCAGCGGGAACGACTCAACCAGATCTTGCTCAATCTCCTTGACAAAATCCCTGGAAAAAATGGTAAGAAGAATCAGGATTTAAGGTAAATAGAAAATGAGGGAGATGGAATGAAAAAGAACAATTTCTAATTGAATAGAATGGTATAGTTCTTTAATGGGCCTGCTTTTAGTTATATATTGGGAATGAAACTGGGAGGTGAGAAGCTCTCCATCCTAGAGACCAGCTTCTTCCTAGCTGGAGGAAGGCCTAAATTGCTTAAAGGTCAGAAAAGCAATCCTGGAAGTCCTCTGGTCTGAGAACTCAGATCTGGAGTGAGGAGTAGGCCAGTGTATTTGATCAGCCTCCTTGGTTCTGTTTTCAGCCATCGATGTGACATACTTGCTGGAGGAAGGATCAGGCAGGAAACTGCGGAGGCGTACTCTGTTTATCCCAGAAAACAGCTTTCGAAAGTGAACCTCTAAAGAAATGAGAACCTCAAGCATCTGAGATCCAGTGGAGCTAACAGTCCTGCCTCCTGTTCTCTGAGTGTAGACAGGAGTGGGAAGGGTCCATCCAGCAAGGGGAATGGGGCCATGACGTTAACATTAGGTACTTAATAAACCTTGGAGCTAGTTGAGAGGAAGAGGAAGGGGATCTGTCTAACCAGTTCAATTTAACTTGTTTTCCTCTCCATTGCTTCATCCAGAAGGTTAATAATAATGTAGGGAGGAAGGCAGAGCACATTAAGGATGACCAAAACTTTTTGGTACTTTATGACACTTGCCCCTCTCCCAGCTTGGGTTTCTCTGTCATCCTCTGATCCCACAAGCACTGCTAAGAAGCTGCTTCCTATACCCAGGTATAACTCAGAATCCAAGGGGGTAGGCCAGGAACCCCCACCTACCCCACCTGCTTTCTGTAGGCTCCAAGAGCTATCCCAGAGACCTGAGACAGAAACAGTAGCTGGGGCCTCTTTCCAGATCCCCGAATAGGAAAGTTTCTCCTTTCTTGCCCAACAATGTTAAAGTAAAACATGAGCCGATAACTCAAAGCACTTGTAACTGCTGCTCCTCTCCCTACCTCTACTCCCCAAAATAGAATCATGGAATAGGGAAGGCCCCCATGGGGTCAGAGGGCACAGTACTTATAATTACCTTTGTTTTAACCTGCCGAACATATTTTTTTCTAACGAGGCCAGGCCTCCCCCAGCACATGTACAGTTTATGCACTGTGGTTTGTGTGTGTCTGCTGTGCTGTGCGAATGAAGATTCATTTCAAAATAAAATCATTTTAAAACCTATATAAAAATGAACTCTTAACACCCCCCCCCAAACAAAAATCACTACATAAACTGTTGAACAGTATTCACTTATCAGAGTATTTGTTGTGAGTGTAGATTATCAATTCAAAACACTACTCTTGTTTTCTTAATTGTACAGTTTTCAATTTTTATCTCTTAAAGAGACAATGTGTTCTCCCTAATCCTAGTTCCATCTTTCCTCCACCCTCCTGATGATCAGGAGGGCTATCCAGGGTGTTTCCTTCCTTCCCATTCTCTGGGCCAGAAGTTACCAGACAATAATGTCTCTTTAAAAATAAAATTTAAAAAGCTTTGCTTTGTTGTCTTCTCAGACATACATATGCATATAAGTTTTAGATGTTCTTATAAGAGAAAAGATGTTTTTTAAATGTGCCAAGTTGTATGTGTACATATATATGTGTGTGTGTGTGTATATATATATATATACATATGTGTGTGTGTGTATATATGTGTGTGTGTGTATATATATATATGCTGCGTGATTAGCAAGCAATACAATAGTAAACCAGTCCCCATTACTTTTTTCTAATATTGGACCAATGTTGTCCTAATTGTACATTTTCCCTTATGATGATGACACTCTGACTTGTTTAGGTAGAAACATTGACCACCTTCCATTCCATTGAATCTTTTTTCCTTTTTCTTCTTTGTGTCAATCTTGAGGAATAAACAAAAGAGACCGGGGATGCCAAAGATCCCCTTGAGCAGAGAAAAAGCAGAATGAATATTTTATTAAAGAAAAAAGAGAATTAAGAAAATAATTTGGAGTATTTTCTTACTGTAGAGAAGCACTGTACATTACTGAGAGACCTGGGTATAAGATACTCACGTGTGGAGCTGGAAAAATCGCATGTCCGAGCCCATTTGAGTGGTTTCTTTTTGGTTTTCATTTTAGGGAGCCGGGGAGGGAGAGGGGGAGTGGGAACAGGGGCACTTTGGGAGTCTCCTTTTAGTCAGAAGCAGGAAAGTTACAAGAAAGAGTTTAAAATTCAATATTTCCTTTAATAGTGTTAAACACTAAAATTTTAAAAAAGACAAAAAAAGAAAAACCTTTGTAATATGTGTGAACTGAAGCAAAAGACACTACGCTGTCATTTTATCTTTCTTTTGTTGAAAGACTAAAAACTGAAACGTTTTTTAGACAATCAAATGTTAGGTAAGTGCAAAAACTTGTTTTTTCTTACTTGTGTAGAGATTAATGCCTTTTTTTATTTTTCAGTTATTTTATAATAACGAAATAAAAAGATCCCCCTAGCTGCCAGGCGGGTTTTGGTGTTTGAAATGCGGGGCAAAGCACTACATCACTGCAAATAGATACAGTTAGTCTGCATGTCTGTAGGCTGTGTGATTGCGGAAAATATAAATGCTGCTAATATATTTCCTTTTTACAAAAGCATATCTAAATAGATGATTGTTTTGATGTTAATCTTTGTAAATTATGTATTACCAATTTTAACATTGGATGTAATTGCATAAAAAGCTTGCATCTCAAATCCTTAAAAGTCTAGTATTAAACGGAAAAACTTTCCTAACTACAGAGTGGTGAGCTTGCTGTTTTTCCTCCTTCCTATCCTCCATTTATCTTCCACGATCTTCTCCATCCTGTTTCCGAGGAGATCTTTTTAAACCCTGACTAACTGGGTTGCTCGGTTAGTTGGAGCATTGTCCTGTAAACCAAAAAGGTTGAGGGTTCAATTCCCGGTGAATCTTAGGTTGTGAGTTCAATCCCTGGTCAGGGGGTGTACAGGAGGCAGCTAATCTGTTTCTCTCTCTCTCTCTCTCTCTCTCTCTCTCTCTCTCTCTCTCTCCCTCTCCCTCTCCCTCTCCCTCTCCCTCTCCCTCTCCCTCCCTCCCTCCCTCCCCATCTCTCTTAAACTTTAGCAATCATGCCCCCCCCAAAAAAAAAATCAAAGTAGTCTTCCATATCTACTTTTTTATAACTTCAAATATTATAAAAATAAAGCTGCTTTTGCAGCGGTAACTTGAGTACTCCTAATATAACTAGGAATCCCCAGAGGCTCTCAGAATCTAGTTGGTGAAACATCACCCTAGAAAACATCTGAAATGCAAACTGAGGTCAAAATTGAGAGGGCAGCTAAACACAAATGCAAATTTAAAGCAAGGAGCAGATGAATATGAATTGACCAGAAATGGAGTTTAAGAATAAGTCATCAGAAATGACAGAAGCATGAGACGCTTGAGGCTATTCAAAGCCTGCTCCCGAGTATTTACAAAGCTTTGATCTGTTTTTAATTCCCCTCTCCTATTAGTACCTGCCCACTGCTGTCCAACCAAGTTCTCCAGATATCTTTCCTCTGTATTTCACTTCATAGTTTTCACCTTCCCCCTAACTTTTCTGTTGCCTGGTTATAATTATAGCTTTCTATTCTTCTACCCTTTTAGTGATTTTTCCTCTAGGCAATCATTTATAATGATTCCCTATCCCATCCTCAGCTCCAGAGCACCTTAACTATTCTCATTTCAGAAGACAGAAACTCATTAACTCCTAACAAAGTTATGTCAAGTTATTGTGCTTTCTGAAATTGTATTACCACAGAATGGTAATGTTAAATAGAAGGAAAAAAATGTGTTACTTTTTGCAACCCTTTAATCCTTCATCACCTCAGATACAAATGTAATGAGTATAGTTTCAAGGGCTATGTCTTCCCCATTCTCCCATTATTTACTCAGGCTCCTACCTGTCATCTCACAAAACAACGCAGTGAAGTCTCGGACTAGAGAGGCACTTCTGAGGTTCCGGCACAATTGAGGGGCACTTTCCATTCCTCAGGAAATAGTAAGAACTGAACCTGGGCTTGGAAGGAAGCATCTCCCTTGAGCTTCTTATAAGAGGGCCTCCCACAGCCTAGGTCCTCAGACCCACAATGATACACACACACATCCAACTCCCACACTTTATTGGAACAAAGGCGGAAGGAGACATATCCAACACCACAGGCCCACCCACCAGGGGTTTCCAGACGTGAACACCTAGAACAACATGAGTACATAATAAATACTGGCAACAAGATGGGGAAAGAGGGAGAAGATTCATCCACATGAAGGAGACAGAGACCCTCTAGTCTTGGGAACTGAGGCATACACTACTAGCAGAGTACTCACACAGGAAGGTAGATAGGGACTAGATTTCTCTTTTGCAGGTAGAAAGGGAGATGTTCCCTTATGCAAACGGGGAAGTGGGAAAGAAACTGCAGGGAGGAAAATTGCTTTGTATATATTTGGAAGAAGAGCATATTTCAACTTACAGATGGGTGTGGGAGGAAGTATTTTGCAGACAGGGAAAATGCTTCTGGGAAAATCAGTTTACAGGGGTTCGTGTTCACAGGCCATTCCATTCCCAAGTGACAGGAGGGAGAGACATATGCAGGGAAGGAAAAAGGTCCTAGGCCTAGAGAACAAGAGAGGTATACCCCACAGGAACCAGCCCCTCCGTTCCATCCCGCCCACAGCGGAGCCAGTCCTCATCCACAGTGGCGATGACACGCAGCACTTCCCCACGCTGGAAGCTCAGCTGGTCAGGTCCTGCAGCGGTGTGGTCACAGAGAGCACGGACTGCCCTGTGGGGAGCCAGATGCTGGGATGAAGTGAGGTGGGGGTACCCAGCTGTCCCAGGTCTCATCTTCCCGCTGTGTGGAATGTCACTTTGGTTCAGCTCAGGGAACATTGGGATCGTGTCTAGCAACATGTGGATTCCCTGTGGGGCCCCAGCCCTCTCCTGAGCCCCAAACCCACTCTTCAGCTACTTATTTGACATGATTTGCACTTGTCTCGTACTTCAACTTCAACATCTGCAAATTAAATAACTCATCTTAACCCTACACACCAGTCCCTCCTCTTGTGTCCCCTATACTTCTTCTACCCAGTTGCTCCCAGCAAAAACCAGGGTCTCTCATTCCTCATATCCAATCAATTACCAAAACCAGGTTGGTGTTTGTATCTCCCACTATTCCACCTGTCTTTCTCATCAACTCCACTGCCTTCATTCTAGTTTAGCGCTCTATCTTCTCAACCTCTACATCTAATCTAACTGGTATCCCTTCACCTCTCATGACCTCCTCCCCAGCTCCATTTTCCACACAGCAGACAGAGATCCTTCAAAAGCAAGCACATCATCCGCCAGCTTATGACCCTTCAATAGCTCCCCTACCTCACAATGAGGTCTGGGCCTACTGAAGCCTATAGCTGCCCGTCACTGCTGCCAACAGCCTCCACTTTGGGCACAGCCAATCATGTGCCCGGAGTTCCTCACTACACTTGGGCCTCTCCACTTTTGCATCCTATTCCTTCTGACACACCCTACACAATCACTGGGCCTTCCCTAAGTCTGCAATCTTGGGAAAGCCCTGTCTATATGGCCCCTTTCCTACAATCTTCCATACAGAATTTTTAAAATACTTTTTTATTGATTTTATTTTAGAGGGAAAAGAATAAAGACACAGAGAGAGAGAGAGACAAACCTCAATGAGAGAAACACCGATTGGCTGCCTCCTGCATGGTCCCTATTAGGAATCAAACCTGCAACCCAGGCATGTGCCCTGACCAGGAATCAAACCAGTGACCTCCTGGTGCATAGAACAACACTCAACCAACTGGCCCACACTAGCCGGCACCATATGGAATTTTAACTGCTTGTTTTTTCATTGGTAACTCCATTGGATTACAAGCTCCTTGAAGGCAGGGACTCCAATATGGTTATTTTTGTATTCCCTCCCCTAGCATAATGCTTGGCACATAGTAAGTACTTGAAAAGTATTACTGAATGAATGAAAAGTGAAGAAACCTAATTCAATGGGTTAAGAAACTAAAGGAATCCAGACCCTAAAGCCAAAGCAATCTCTGGTGCCAAATTAGAAGACCCCACTGAAGGGAAGCACAGTCCCTCAGGGTACGCACATGGGTACATCCAAATACATAGTTAGCGGTAACTGGGCACCACCTCTGTGCCAGATGCTCTTATAAAATTATGTTTAGTCTCTATAACAACCACAATAAATGTATAAATTATCCTCTCTTTAAGGAGAAAGAAACCAAGGCTCAGAGAAATGAGTTCACACCAATAATAGCAGAAATGTAATGCAAACTAAGCACTGTCTGACTTTACAGCCCCACGGCCTTTTAAACTACCTCCAATCCACTCTCAAGACAAATACGCGTGCATGCGCGCGCACACACAACACACCAATGCATTCTTCCCAATCCTCCTTACCGTTGGGTCTGCACCACGCTGGGTGCTGAGGCCTCAAGCTCCTCGGGTGGACTGGGAGTCTCAGAGGGTGCCACCCTCTTCACCAAAGTCAATACGTTCACTGCAGGAGGCAGCCAGCTGGATGGTCTCCTGGAGGAAGGGATACAGGGTCACCGAGTTTATCCCACCTCCAAAAAAAAAACAACCAAAAAAAACCCCAGGGCTCTGGAGGGAGAAAAAGGCTGAGCAGCCTGTGTTTCAAAAGATCGGGAGTTGGTCACTGCTGGGGGCAGAGAGACGGTTTGTAGGTGATTAGGGAGGTGAAAACAGGTCTACAACACAAAAGTCACTAAGGACCTCTGGAACCAGTACACTCAGAAACATAATCACTAGAGAGTGCCTGAAGCCAGAGCTCAGCAAATAATTTCTTTTTTCTAAAAGGCTAAATAATAACTGTTTTTGGCTTTGAGGGCCAAGAGGCAAATGTAGAACATATCACCATTAAAATGTAACTTATCACGAACATAACCATTTTTAGCTCATGGCTATAGAGAAACAGACTGCCAACTTCCAACCTAGAACATCACTCTCGTTTCATCCTTGGGTAACTGGTGATGTGGGATAGAGTCGGAGGTCATGGAGGGGACCAGGTGCCCCAGTACCTGGACTTTAGAGTTCCACTTTCCGTTTCTGTGAGGCCCCCAGGCACTCCAAACAGTCTTCCCAGCCACACGCCTCTGCCTGGTGCCGCGTCCGTGGGCAACGATTTCCCCTGTGCGTCCTCAGCCACAGCCCCGGGACACCTGGATCCCCACCGGCGAAGGGAGAAGCCCTCCGTGCCCCCAGAGGCATAGACCCGGGAGGCCTGGGTCAGCTGCTCCCACCAGCTGCCTGGTTTGGGAGGGCTTGCGGGGGCTGAAGGGCCTGGAGGGGTCTCCTCAGAAGCCCCACGAAGGGTCTGGGCCAGCCGACCCCCCCAGTCCAGCATGGCTTGCACAGTCTGCTGCAAGGCTGGCGGTGAGGCTGGGGGGGCGGGAGCCTGAGGTGGGCCCAGGGGCAGGTGGTGGTGATGCTCAAAGAGCAGGTCCAAGTGGAAGGTGAGCACCGACAACGGCTGCAGCAGGAGCAGCAGCTCTGTGGACAGGGAGGGGCAGCCACGCCGGGCCAAAGAGAAGAAGCCAGTGGGCAGGTACAGGAGGGACAGCAGGCCTGGGAAAAAAGCGGCTAACATCAGTCCCTGCCCTCAGCCCAGTCCCAGAGGGCTCCCTGCATCAGCCCAGCCATCAACAAACATCCCCCTGGCCTCAGTCTATGCTGGGCACAGAGAACATGGTGGGGAACTGGGCTGATACATCCCTGCCCATGTAAAACCACTGCCTAAAGAGGGAAGCACGTACAGAACAAGTGGTGATAAGAAACTGAGTAACAAAAAGGAGAACCGGCCGTGGGAGCCAAATAGGGGGTGAGGGTTTGCCTAGTCTGAGGGCAAAGTGAAGCCTCACCAAATAGAATCTAAAGAATGAACGAAAGTTAGTGAGGAGGGGCAGGAAGTCCTGTTTAGGAAAGAATCAGAAAGGAAGGCTGTCAAAGAGCCAGGGGAAATCCCAGACTTAGAGACCAGAGAAGAAGGCAGAGACCAATAATCAAGACTGGAGAAGATGGTGAGGATTTGGGCCTTCCCCCCGGTGGGCCACGGGACTCCTTGAAAAAGTTTTAAGCACAAGAGTAATAAGATCACAGGGCAGAGTAAGATCATTCCGCCATTAGTGGGAACCAGCAGAACAGACCCCTTTTCCTCCTTCCCTGACAGCCTAGCCACCGCATCCTCTCCCAGGTGAACCTCTGACCTGCATCTTCCTGAAGACTGGAAAACCACAGCTCCAGCTGCTTGGTGCTGGGGGAGGAAAGGGAACAGGAGCTCAGGAGTGGAGGACGCCAGCGCCCTCTAGGGAGGGGGTGGGAGATGAGATTGGAACGGGAGAAGTTTGCCCTAGGAACGTGTTGCATCCCACCCGAGACCCCCCTGCAGTCCCCGGGCCACGGGAGGGGCACCGGAAGGAATGCCACTCACTTGAGGAGGCCCAGGATGAAGGCGTGGAAGCGGCTCCTGCTGCTGCTCAGCGGGGCCAGCCGGCTGACCTGGCTGTACAGGGGTCCAAAGGCCCGGGTGCTGGAGCCTGAGGACAACCGGCGCTGTGAGCCAGACCCCGGCCCTCGCCCTGCCTCCATCCCGGCCCGGCCGCGGGCCAAGTCCCCCACTTCACCTGGCTTCACCGATGCCTCCACCACGCTCCAGGGGTTGCTCCTGCGCTGCCCGGTGATGAGGTCCTTTCGGAAAGGCTTCAGCCCGTCAGCCACCAGGGCATAGAGAGCCGGGCAGAGGGTGGTCAGCACCAGGTGCCCCACATCTGGGCTCAGCCGGCTATCCCCCAACTGGGCCTGGAGGCAGCGCAGTGGGCATGGGTCCAGAGATACCAACAGCGCGCTTCCGGTCCGAAGTTCTGCGCCCCCAGAGCTACAGTCATCTCCTCAACCCCAACGCCCTCCCACAGACAACTTCACCTTCTGAACCAAGTTTCGGGCCGCCCCAAAGTGCGAGATGATTTTATCCACGGAGGCGCTGACGGCTATCAAGAGACCTGGGGAGGGAGAGGGGGAAGGATAGGGGAGAGAAGCATCAAAGCCCCCGTCTCCCAGGAGTACCCAGGGGCCTAGGAGAAACCGGTTTATGCAGTCTGACCCTGTGAGGGGAGGGCCGCCATGCGGGGCAGCTGATTCCTTCCAAAGCCAGGGTTGGGGTGCCCTACCTTTCTTCTGCTCCTGCAGCTGGCCGGTCCCACGCTGGGCTTCTGCCATCCACAGTCGCTGGGCCCCGGGGACACCGGCGAAGGACCAGGAACTGCGGACTGCGGGGAGGGAAGAAGAACGCGTGACCCTTAGCAAGGGCTGTCCCAGGACTCCAAGCCGCAGCACAGGCCACCTCCTGCGGGCCCACAGCACCAGCCCCTGACGTCTTGGGCGAGCGGACGCGAAGCTGGGCACAGCACCGGGCGACGCGACCCGGGACCCCGGAGTGAGATCCTGCTCGGATCTCAGCACTCGCCGCCCCTGTCACCCCAACCTCCCCGTTTCCATGACCTTCTTCAGGGCCCAGGGCCCACCTCCGCGATCCCGGAAGTCCAGGCGCGGGGACAGCGGCGCTCACCTCCCGCCCGCCCGCTGGGGCCCAGAGGGCAGGAGATGACAGGGCGAGGGAAGGGCGGGCACCAGACCCACCCCGGCCTGCGAGTCCTGCCCCCGGGAACGGAAGAGCACGTGGGGAGCTCGGACCAATGAAAAGACGGACCAACGAGAATGGAAAAGAGAGGGCGGGAGCGGAGATCCCAGGGCTGGGAGACCAGAAGGCACCCGAAAGAGAAGGCCCGGGTCGTACTCCGGCATGGCCGCGGAGGGCGCCCCGCAGCCCGCGGGAGGCCGGTCTGGCAGGAAGGTGTGACCAGGGCCTCTTCAGCCACGAGAGTTGGGGGAAGCTTCGCCCTGCACGCTCCCCTAGGAGGTGGCGGTCAGGCCCGACTCGCCTGGCCAGGGAATGCCACAGAGGGTGCCCCCACCGGGAATCCCACAGGGGCACCCCAGTCCCTATCCATCGAAGGGCTTGCTGGAGGCCCTTAAACTGAGTTTGAGGCCGAACAGGTCCGCGTTCCCGGCGCCCGCCACACAGGAGCGTGGCCCGACGCCTTGAACCAATGAGCTTGCTAGGAACCGGCCGAAGGGCGGGGCGGAGCCGGTAACCCGGATGAAACCACAGCCGCGGAGGCGCCGCGCTGAGGAGGGGCGGGCGGGGCGGGGCGGGGCGGGCGGCCCGCCGGGGCGTGGCCTCCGGGCCGGCCCGGGGCCGTCTTACGTAGCCTGAGAGGAGTCGGTGGGCTCCGGGTCCAGCGAGGGGCCTTCGGCGGACGAGGTGGCGGTGGCAGCGGGGGGGCGGGCACCTGGCGGGGCGGGGGAGCCGCGGCAGGGAAGGTGCTGCTTCTGGGGAAGAGCGGGGACAGCAGCAGCGCCAGCTCGGGGCTGGCCAGGCAGGACAGGGCCCCCCGCGCCGGGGGCGAATAGGCTCCCACCGGGGACAGGCGGACGGGCAGCAGCTGCTCCTCTGAGGGGCTGGGCGCCCCCAGCAGCCGCAGCCCCGCGCGGGGCCAACCCGCCAGAGGCGCCAGGAGCAGAGACCCAGCTGTGCCCGCGCCCCCACCCTCCAACAGGGGGCGCCCGTCGGCCGAGAACCGGAAAACCAGGGGCCGAGGGACCAGGAGGGGACGGGCTGCAGGCGGGGTTGGCGGGGCAGGTGCGAAGGGGAAGGGGGGCAGCGGATGGGCAGCCAGGCAAGGAAGGGCAGGAGAAAGAGGGAGCACAGAGTTAGTCCCGTCACCCAGCGACCCGCCCAGCTTCCCTTTCCCGGAGCGCTCCCTGGCAGACGGGGACCGGGAGGATGGGGGACAGAGACGGGGTGGGGGACACGGGGAGACGGGCTGTCAGCTTGGGAGGCTTGGGCAAGGCCGAAGCCCCGCCCTCCTCCCGCCGCCTCCCGCGGCCTCTTACCCTCCAGGCCCGCCTGCGCACCGGGCTCCTGCGGCTCCTTCGGGGCTGGGGCCTCCTCGCCGGGCCTGACCTCCCTGCCCTCCCCGGGCTGCCCCTCCGCTATAGGCTGCAGCCCCGGGCGGTTCTTCTTCCTCCGGGGAGGCACGGGCGGCGGTGGGGGCCGGGGCGGGACCAAGGCCCAGCCGGCCGGGGGGTCTCGGGGCGGGACGGGCGGGGGCGGGGCCCGGGTTCGGGACCTCAGTTCCTTGAAGGTGGTGACTTCGCGGGGAGCCGCCGGGGAGCCGCCCAGCGACCCGGTGGGGGGCTGCTCGCTGTCGGGCGAGAAGACGATAAGCCAGTCGCTGCGGTCTTTCTTGGCCTGCGTCACCAGGGTCAGCCCCGGGCCCCGCTTGCGCTTCTGGGCCAGCTCGTGGAAGGACGTGATGGTCCGGTGGGGCACGGGCTCCTCGCTGACGTCACTCCTCCATCCTCCATCCCTTTTCTCCGCGTCTGCTTTCAAGCCAGAATCAGTTGTTCCCGCATTGGTTTTCCAACCGGAGTCAAATTTTCCAGGCTCAGCTTTCCAACTAGAGTTAGTATTGCCATTGATTTTCCAACCAGAGTTATTGTTCTCGGTGATTTTCCAGCCAGCTTCAGTTTTCTCTGTGTCAATTTTCCAAATGGGGTTGATTTTCCAACTGGGTTCCGTTTTCCCAGCGTGGGTCTTCCCATCATCGGCCTCCGAGAGCTCGGAGGTCAGGAGGTCCTGCTCCCCACCCTCCTCCTCCTTCTCCTCCTCCTCCTCCAGGCCTGGGGAAGGGAGGTCCTGGCAGGTGGTCAGGGCATTGCAGTTGGAGTCCAGACCCGGGCCGGGTGGGGAGGAGGCTCCAGAGCAGGAATCAGGAGAACAGCAGAAGCTGTCAGGAGAGCAGGCGCCAGGGCCGGTGGAGACCAGAGGGGAGCCCTGCTCCCGGGGGAGGATGCTCGGCTGAGGGGGGACATTTTGGTCACCAGGGAGGTTCCGCGAGTAGACCGAAATGGGGGACTCATCGGGGCTAAGATCTGAGCAGGAGCTGAGAGAGGAGGAGCAGCCCGGGTCCGAGGGAGAGGCGGCCCCCTCTTCCTCCTGTGCCGGGTCCTGCCCGGTTTCTAGGCCCGGCCCGTGCTCCTGGCAGCAACGGCAGGGCACCGCTGGGCTGTTGGAATTGGCATCCACCAGGGTCCCGCCGCAGGAGCCCTGGCTCTCCTTGCCCCCTGCGTCCCCCGGGGGAAAGGACGTGCTCAAGGGCCCCTCCCTTAGCTCCGGACGGCGGGACAAATGCAGGCCCAGGGAGACGTGCTGGAGGTGGATGTGGTTGAGGTTGCAGAGCAAAGCCCTCTGAGGGGACAGCATGGTGCCAGCGGCGACGGGGTGGCCTCCAGAGAACCAGGAAGACCGGCCTCTCACATCCGCCTACCTGGCAACCGCAGATTCTGACCTAGAAGACAGGGATGGTGAAACCCAGCCAGTGAGGGTGCGGGCCGCTAGGACACCAAGGTGCCCCACAGCGGGAGCAGGTCTGGGAGGGCGCCGGCTGCTTTAGACAATATTCAAATGAGATGCAAATGACCGCCCGCTAGCCTTCAGTTTCCTCCGCAGTGTGTGCAGGTGGAATCCAATGTAACCCCCCGGGAGTGGGGCGGCGGGGGTGGGGGGTAGGCGGGTGGCATCAGAGAATGCGGCTGCGCTTTGGATCCCCATGGAGGGGTGGGGCGGGAGGGGGGGCTTGAAAAAGGATGCGGTCCAGAACGGACCCTCGGTCCTCTTGGCTGCAGGCACTCCCAGAGTAAGGGGCCCAGGGCGGCCCTGCCCAAACGCTCGGAAGTGGGGGAGGAGGGGAGCGCGTCTGGCTGGTTAATGCAGGAAAGTGGCGGGCATGGGGGATGGGGAGGGAGCAGTCGTCTGCAGGTCAAGCCGGCCCGCACAGACCGCACAGGCTTTGGTGTACAGCCCCGCTAGAAACCGGTCTAGAAACCCGGTGTTTCTGTCCATTCTTTCGTACTTGTCTGTCATCCAGCCACCACCCCACCCCCATTCATTTTAACTGCTCCCTCTCCTGCCCCATCCCTCATGCAGATCCATTCATGCACACCCCGAAACAGAGCCCTCCTCACCACGGTTCTGCTACTGCTGCGGGCGTTGAGTTCCTCTGCGGCTCGCACAGTCCCCGCACTGACTGGAGGGAAGGGGTGCGGCTGGAGGACAACCCGCCCACGCTGCGCAGCCGCGCCCCTCCGCGCATGGGCGTGGCGTGGCTCAGACCCAGCCCCCTGCGCTTGACGTCTTGCCCGTGTCACCCACCTAGGCCTGTCTGGTTTGTGTGGCTTTTTAAATATACTTTATTGATTTTTTACTGAGAGGAAGGGAGAAGGAGGTAGAAACATCGATGAGAAACATCGATCAGCTGCCTCCTGCACGTCCCCTACTGGGGATGTGCCCGCAACCAAGGCACATGCCCTTGACCGGAATTGAACCTGAGATCCTTCAATCTGCAGGCCAACACTATCCACTGAGCCAAACTGACGGCCTGTCTTTTTTTTTTTTTTTTTTACAGAGAGGAAGGGAGAGAGATAGAGAATTAGAAACATCAATGAGAGAGAATCATTGATCAGCTGCCTCTTGCACACCCCCTACTGGGGATGTGCCCGCAACCAAGGTACATGCCCTTGACTGGAATCGAACCCGGGACCCCCCAGTCCCCAAGCCAACACTCTATCCACTGAGCCAAACTGGCGGCCTGTCTCTTTGATATGACCTAGAAGTCATGACCCACAGTCCTGGTTTCTGTGGAACCACCTGTGTTCCAGACAGAGCTGCACCCTGACTGGTACGCCCAAGAACAGAACCACAAGGTTAGATAGTACAGCAGGTTCTGGTGTAATAGTTTCATTCTTCCTTGTCTTATAGGGTTGAGAACATTGATTCCAGGCAGGTCCACTGTGTGGAGCTTGCATGTTCTTCCCTTTGGGTTTTCTCCTGGTTTTCCTCCCAGCCCAGACATGCAGGTGAGCTGAACTGGTGTCTAATTGCCGAGTGGTTGTGGGATGCCTGGGCCCTGCAATGGGAGGGCCTCCTGTCCAGCATTGGCTTCCATTTTGAGCTGCTCAGATAGCTCCTATCACATACAACCCTGACCTGCTTTTGTTCATTCCTTAGTGTGTATAGCTCATTTCAGTGTTGAATATTAGAAATATTTGATGGTTATTTTTTGTGTTTGTTTGTGTGTTTTTGTTTTTGTTTTTTTAGAGAGGGATAAAGGCAAACATCAGTGTGAGGCACATCAATTGTTTGCTTCCCATACATGCCCCAACTGGGGTCCAACCAGCAGCCGGGAATCTAACCTGCAACCTCCCAGCGCACAGGACGATGCTCCAAATCAACCAACCAAGCCACACCCACCCACCCAGGCTGGTGATATTTTTGTGACCAGAAATGACACAAAATATAACTCTTGTCTCTATCAGTTAACATATGGCAAAATTTTGTCACAGTATCCAAGAATCCATGGATGACATGAAGTGAGGATATACTGTAATTTATTAAGAGCCTCCCCTCCCCGCCCTGGCAGTCTCTAGGTCACTTTTTCCGCTTGTAGATCTTCTGTGCTAGCCTCAGGAAGATGGCGGGGGGCAGGGGCGACGAGCACTGCTCGATGAGACTCAGCAGGTGGCTGTAACGGTCTTCCTCATATTGCGTAAACACGGCCTGCAGGTTCAGCTCCTCGTAGAGTGCCTTCACCCGGGCCACCTTCTCAGCCTCTTTCTGCCCATAATTCTCCTAGAAGGGGGTGGAGGCAGGAAAACAGGCTCACTCTTCCCCTAGTGCTTCCGCATCCCCTCCATGCCCCTCCACACCCCTCATCCATATATTCAGATCCTCTCCAAGGCCATTAACTTGATTCCTGCCTCCAACTCAAGTGTCTCTGAGTGTCTGAGATTGTCTAATATGTTCAATTTTCCCCTCCCCACTCCAAATGCTCAGATATTAGCTCAGCCCTCAGCTTCCTCTGCCACAGGGTTTCTCAGCTTTAGCACTGTTGAAATTTGGGGCCACGCAATTCTTTGTTGTGGAAACTGTTGTGTGCATTGTAAGATTTATGGTAGCACTCCTGGCCTCTACCACTTAGAGACCTTAGCACATTCACACACACCAAGTCATGACAACAAAAACTGTCTGCTGCTATTGCCAAATGTTCCCTGGGGTACAAAACTGCCCCCACTTAAGAACCACTGCTTTATCCCCTTATCAGCTCAGGGATCCACAGCCCTCTCCTGGGCACCTGCAGGATCCGGCGCTGTTCTGGAGAAGCCCGTTGTAGACACTGTACCACCAGCCAGCTGCACTTGTTGTCCTGGATGTCAGTGCCAATCTTGCCCGTCACACTGGAGTCCCCGAAGAGATCAAGGTAATCATCCTGGGCAGGGGAGCAGAGAAGGAGATGAAGATACTCCCCAAGGCGGGGAAGGAGGGAAGCTGGAGCCTGTTCTCTGCCAGTGCCTCCCGCCTTCCTACCTGGATCTGAAAGAGCTCTCCAATCTCCATCAGGATCTTCTTGGCATTGGCGTGTTCCTTCTCCCCGTCAATGCCTGCCTACAGTGAAAAGGGGATTGACAGGCGAAGCATCAGAGGCACCTTCATCTTCCTGACTGCTTCCTCCCACAGGTTCTTGCTCAAGGTTAGCCCCTAAATCTTCTCTGTCTCCTCAGACATCCCTGGCTTCCCTGGCCTAAGAAGTCCCGGCTGGTGGTCCAACCTCTATCTCACTTAATTTTAGCTAGGCCTTCCTGCAGGCAGAAATTAGTCCATTCTGGAGGCCCTCAGACCATCTCTTTTTTCATGAAGTTCAGTCCAGGAGTCACAGATTCTTCTTCATAATTTTTTTTTTTTTTTAATAGAGGAAGGAAGAGGGAGAGGGAGAGGGAAAGAGAGAGAGAGAAACATCAATGATAAGAGAGAATCATTGATCGGCTGCCTCCTGCACATCCCCTACTGGGGATCGAGTCCGCAACCCGGGCATGTGCTCTTGACCAGAATCGAACCCAGGACCCTGTACTACGCAGGCCAACACCCTACCCACTGAGCCAAACCAGCTAGGGCTCTTCTTCATAATCGTTCAGCCATTTCCAACTTTATTCAGGATGAAAAGGAAACTTAGAGGAGCAAGTTTGGGGTAGCCAGTAAATCCCACTCACTGCCTGTAAATCCATTCTTTTCAGCCTGATCATCTCCCCACTCCTATCCAAGCTCAGACGGGAGGCTTTCTCATTCCTCTATGACAGACAGACCACTTTCCCTTGCCACACCAATTTCTACAGCAATTCTGTGAGGTGGGGATTTTATCCTTATCTTACAGCTGAAGAAACAGCGTCAGGGAGAATATGTAACTTGCTCAAGGTCACACAGCCATTAAGTGGGGGCAGCAGATCTATAAAAGCTAACATTAGTGGGTAGTGGGGGTGTGCGGAGGCTCACTCACCATATACATAGCAGCAGCTACAGGAAGGTAGAAGGAGTAGAAAGCTGTCTTATACTTGACAATAGATTTGTACCTAAGTAGGGAGAGAAGATAAATTCCTCAAACAGGCAATGCCAAGAAATAAAAATAAAAAAAGAATGCCCACCCGGAGCCCTCCCTCCCTGTTTAGGTCTGGTTCCCACTGTCGCTCACCTCTTTTCAGTGAATCTGCCAAGATCCACGCTGCCCTGCGGGGCTGTGATGAGGTCCAGGGTCTGTCCAATCTCAGTCTGATAGGAAGTCTAAGGCAGAAGATGGCCCATGAGCTGGGCTTTCTCCAGGACTGGGGAACCCAGAAATCCTGGGCCCCACATCCCATACCAGCTAACACCTAGGCAGAGTCAGAAAGGCAGCAAGAGGGAGGGAGGGGACCAAATCTCAAGATCCATATTCTCACACACACACACATACACACACTATCCTTTATCCCTCCTTTCCACCATACAGGGACAGAGAACCCTCCTTGTTATTAATACCATCCTTCCCAACTCCCTTGTTTTTGTTTTTGTTTTTTCTTAATATATTTTATTGATTTTTTTAAAGAGAGGAAGAGAGAGGGATGGAGAGAAACATCGATGAGAGAGAATCATCGATCAGCTGCCTCCTGCACACCCCCTACTGGGGATGTGCCCACAACCAAGGTATACGCCCCTGACCAGAATAGAACCTGCGACCTTTCAGTCCACAGGCCGACGCTCTATCTACTGAGCCAAATCGGTTCTGGCCCAACTCCATCGCTTTCTTCCTCTTCCATGAAAACCTAGTCTTTCCTACGCCCTGAACCCAGCTAGATGGTAATGTCCTGAGGAGGCCAAGCTCCTGCAGCAGCCTCTGGGCACTGGGCCTGGTCTGCAGCCCACCTGCAGGAAGAGCTCCATCAGGTTCAGGTAGTAGGGCTGCTCCCGGCAGCAGAGCTTCAGCAGTCGGTAGATGCATGCTTCCAGGAGAAGAGCATCATTCACGGCATCCAAACCAATGCCTGGCTGTGGGGGGGCAGAAAAACAAGCAATCATACCAAGAACCTGTCACTCTGAACCCCTCAACAGGCTCTATGTAACCGCCTCCCTGTGGCCTCCCATGTTTCCATGCCCACTGGGTTTCCACGCCCGTGGGTTTCCTTTACCTTCTTATACCAGCAGGCCTGCCCCCGTCGGGTGAGGGATGCATCCATAATGTCGTCTGACACCAGGAAGAAAGCTTGGAGCTAGAAGAGGGTAGAGTGGAATTAGACCCCCAGGGCTCCTTGTTACTGTCCCTTCCACCAGCAACAGAGCTGCCATTGCGAGTCACTAGGAGCTGAGAAGGAAAGTCAGGATGGGGAGGCCCAGGGCATGTTCTGTCCTATGGGGTCAGGCTGCACATTCTAGTTCCTTAAAACAGCTTTCCGAGGCATGGCTTTTAGATCTTCACGTCATACTGATCTGTGTGTGTGCTCTCGTGGTAACACTGTCCACCGGCTTAGGTGTAGGCAGTGCAGAAAGGCCATGGCCACCGCTGCTCTTGTTCCAGGCCAAGTCCTTGGGGAAAGAGGCATCAATCTGACCTCACCCGGGGGAGGGTCTGGCGTTCCACATCGGAGGCACATCTCTTATTGTTTACATCGTGTGTACTTGGAGTGGCACGGTTCCCCTGAAGCCACCCTTCTACTGCCTCTCCCAAGCACCATTGCAGGGCCATCTGGTTTCAACCAGGAGCATTCCAACCAAGGTTGTCTACAAAGACCATTTATTACAATGTGGCCTCCCTCAGTCACCTCTGCCCTCCAGCAATGATTCTGAACCAACTGCACTCCCTCTTTATCAGGGGAACTTTAAAAAATACCAGCGCCAGCCCTAACCAGCGTGGCTCGTGGTTAGTGTCAGTCCGCTTACTGAAGGGTCATCAGTTTGATTCCAGGTCAAGGTCATGTACCTGGGTTGCAGGTTTGATTCCCAGTCTGGTTGGGGCAAGTTCAGGAGGCAACTAATGGATCTCTCTCTCTCTCTCTCTCTCTCTCTCTCTCTCTCTCTCTCTCTCTCTCCCCTCCCTTTTTCCCTCCTTCCCCCCCTTCACTGTCTCTAAAAATCAATGGAAAAATACCCTCAGGTGTGGGTTAACAACAACAAAAATACCAGTGCCAGCCCTAGCTGGTGTGGCTCAGTCAGTTGGGCATTATCCCATGAACCAAAAGGTTGCTGGGTAGAGTCCCAGTCAGGGCACATGCCCTGATAGGGTGTTGGGCTAGGTCCCCAGGAGGGAGCATGCAGGAGGCAGCAAATCGATGTTCCTCTTTCACATGATGTTTCTCTCTTCCTTTCTCTTCCTCTCTCTCCAAAAATCAATTTTAAAAATTACTTTAAAAAGCCGAAACCAGTTTGGCTCAGTGGTAGAGCATCAGTCTGCGGACTGAAAGGTCCCAGGTTCAATTCCGGTCAAGGGCATGTACATTGGTTGCAGGCACATCCCCGGTAGGGGGTGTGCAAGAGGCAGCTGGTCGATGTTTCTCTCTCATCGACATTTCTAGCTCTCTAGCTCTGTCTCTTCCTCTCTGTAAAAAATCAATAAAATATATATATTTAACTGATCACACTTAAAATAAGATGGCAAGTACTTAATGTCCCCTAACTTTATCCTCCTCCAGGATATATATTTAATATATATATATATATATTTATTTAAAAAAAAAAAAAAAAACAGCAATGCCAGAGTCCTACCCCAGATCAATTAAATAAGTAATCTTTAGGGGTAGTAACTCAGCATTGGGTTTTTGTTTTGTTTTGTTTTTTAAATCGTCTTCCCAGGTATGTGCTTATATTGGGAAGTATCAGGAAATATACATTACCTATGTAGCATTCTTAGCAAATGTTTAGCCTGATTGTAATCATGGTGAAATAATCATAGACAAATCCAGACTAGATTGTGAGCCACTCTACCAAACAATTTCCTCGCACACCCCCACCCCCCAACGGGGGCCAGGGATCAAGCTTGCAAGCCAGATATATGCCCTTGACCAGATCGAACCCGAGACCCTTCAGTCCATGGGCTGATGCTCTAACCATTAAGCAAATGGACTAGGACTAGAAATTTGGGTTCTTACGTGAATCTTCTTCTTTGTTAAATTTAGGGAACGTATTTCTAAAGCATTTTCAAAAACTATCAGTGGGCTGCCAGTTTTCAATCTCTGCTTTAGAATAATCTTCTGGAAGAACCATGGCACTTTACTCAGAGAACTGATACCTCTAGGCCCAGTTCGAAGGCCCTGACCCACAGATGGTCTTCAAGTGAAATATGTACCTACTGACAAGAGAAGTTTCCCACATTTGTTCACCTGTGGGGTAATTCACTGTCTACATTTGGCTGTGGCACACTGGAGGCACAGAAACACAAATAGCCAAAAAACGAGTTCCAGGCCCATCCCTCCTGTTCTCACCCAGGCACCCCCACAGGTAGTAAACCTCTTCTTCTCCTACCCTTCCCCCACCCTTCTCACCAGCTCCACACACCAGCCCACAGTCATGGCCCGCTGGAGACTATCGGCGTCCTGCTTGCTTGGTTCCACCAGATCCTGGAAAGTTACCAGCACCGTCATACCCCGTTGGTACTTCCCTCCAATGACATTGTACTCCAGGACCTGGGGGGCAACAGAGGGACAGAGCATCAGGATCCGCGGAGCAGCTACTCTGAGATTTCTTCTCGCCCTCTCCTACTTCCCACCATGACCTAACTTTAAAGTCCTCCTTAACCCCGGCTGGCATTCCCAGGTCTCAACTTCTCAAGATCCAGACCCATCCCCACCGCTCCTAACTTCCCCTCACAACCCATCCCTCCTTTCCCAGCCACTTTCTCCTACCCACAGCTCAACCCACCTGCAGATGAAGAGCCTCACTGTCCTCAAGACAAGCTCCCACCCCTCAAAGTCGGTCAGGGGAGAGCATGGAGAGGACCCAGTTGGGGGAGCCAGCCCCCACTCTTGCAATGGTGCCTCTTCCTGCTCCTTTTGCCTTCTGTTATCAAGCTGGCAACCAGATCTAATTCAATGGAAAGACTTCCCTTTTATGTCTATCCCAGTGTAGACAAACCTCCTCCTTCTCCTTGGTTCCCCTCAGACAAATGAGACAGCATTTATAAGAGAATTACTAGAAACTCCAAAAGAATAAAAGAATGAGATAACTTAAGTATCCCAGCAATAGTTCCTGCCCCAGAGCAGGTGTCTGATGATAGGGTAGCTTCTCTCAGGCCCACCTCAGACTGCCTTCCTTGGGGACCCCTGCCAAGGGAGCACCTCATGATTTCTGGACACCCAATCTCCTTCCTCAACAAAATCAAAGACTTACAAGGTTCAAGGGCCTACACTAGGGGTGTCGAACTCAATCAGAGAAGG